TGTAGCCTATAGTGAGGTTTGTCTTAGGGGGTACAAAACTTAGGGTTAGCTATATGTACCCCAACCAACATCAATGCATCATCCATTCCTCATTCTGACATGGTATCAGTTAGGTTAGGATCCTGTGGGATCCCGTTCCTCCGTTCTCCGTTCGTATCTCCCGAGCCTGATCCTACCTCTCGTTCGTACCGGTTCCGTTGTTACCGCGCCTAGTGCCGAGCCTAGCGCCCTTCCCCCCGTCGCCTAGCGCCCTTTCCCCCCCCGTCACGTCGCGCCCTTTCCCCCCGTTGCGTCGCGCCCGTTCCCCCCCGTCGAGTCGCGCCCTTTCCCCCCGTCGCGTCGCGCTCTTTCCCCCCGTCGCGTCGCGCCCTTTCCCACCGTCGCCCCGTCCCGTCCCGTCGCCCCTGCCCCGTCCCGTCCCCGTCCCGTCCCGTCGCCCCTGCCCCGTCCCGTCCCCGTCCCGTCCCGTCGCCCTGCCCCGTCCCGTCGCCCTGCCCCGTCCCGTCCCGTCGCCCCGTCCCGTCCCGTCGCCCCTGCCCCGTCCCGTCCCCGTCCCGTCCCGTCGCCCCTGCCCCGTCCCGTCCCCGTCCCGTCCCGTCGCCCTGCCCCTGCCCCGTCCCGTCGCCCCGTCCCGTCGCCCTGCCCCGTCGCGTCGCCCTTCCCCGTCCCGTCGCCCTGCCCCGTCGCGTCGCCCTTCCCCGTCCCGTCGCCCTCCCCCGTCGCGTCGCCCTCCCCCGTCGCGTCGCCCTGCCCCGTCGCATCGTGCCCGCCCTTTCCCCCGTCCCGTCGACCCTACGCCCTGGCCCGTCGCTCTAGCCCGCTCTTCCGCTGCGACTAAGTCCCACCTGCACCCTAATTTGCCTCTTACCTCCTGCTGTTACTCGCCTGCTCGTTCGCGTTAGTTTTCGCTATGGCGACTCCGCGAGTTCTTCGTTTCGACGCTGACGGTAGACCTCTTGACTTTTCCGTCTGGCTTCTTCGTGCTCGCCGTCTGTTAGAGAGTCAAGTCCAGGGGGGCGAGACCCTCTGGTCGCACGCTACTGGTGACCTCCCCGAGCCCCCCGAGCCTGCCGCTTTAGGTCCTGCCCCTGACGATGCTGCTACGGCTCGCTTTGCCCGTCAGCGCGCTGACAGGACGGCTTGGACGTCACGTGACGCTGCGGCCTGCATCGCACTCAGCAGCCTCCTCCCTGAGTCAGAGGAGGTCCACTTCACTCAGGTTCGCACCGCTGCTGCGTACCTCACTGCGATTAAGGCCCGCTACTCTACTCCCGCTACTGTCTCTCTTGGCCGTCTTTTCCTCCCGTTCCTGTTTCCTGATCTCGCCTCGTTTGAGCGCTCTGCTGACTTGATCGCTCACCTCCGCTCGCTCGACGCTAGTTACCGCGCTGCTTGCACTGAGGCACAGCTTGCACTGCTTCCTCCCCCCATGGCGATTACTATCTATTTCATCGCCACTAGCCTCCCTGACCGCCTTGCCTCCGTACGTGACGCGCTCCTGCTGAAGCACCCTAGTGAGCTGACAGTTGAGGTCCTTGAGTCTGCGCTCAAGGACGTCGAGAGCAACCTTCGCTCGGTAGCTGCCGCCTCTGGTGCTGTGCCCCCCCCACTCTTCCACGGGTGCACAGTCCCGCAGTTACCCACCTTCACTGCCTCTCTTGCCACTGCCGCTACTGACGCGACTGCAGCTGCTGCTACGACTGCGTCGCGGTCCCGCGGCAAGGGGGGCAAGAAAGGTGGTTCTGGTGGAGGTGGAGGCGGAGGTAGCGGAGGTAGTGGGGGTGCTGTTGCGACTGGCGGTGGTGGGAGTGCAGCGTCTGGAGAGACCTCTCGTGCAGCGGCTGGTGACTCCACTGCGCCTGCTGGTGGTGGCGACGCCCGAGCTCGTCAGTCGTCTCCTGTACTGCCGGCCCCGCTAGGTGGAGCAGCGGCGTGGTACCAGGCTCAGCGTCAGCAGCGGCTTCAGCAGCAGCAGCAGCCCCTCTCCTCCCAGCAGCCTCAGCAGCAGCAGCGTCAGCAGCTGGCTCCGGGGTCGGGGCTGCGTCAGCCCCAGCGTGGTGCTGCTTACCCTCCCTGCACCTATCAGGTTCTGACAGGTCCTCGTCGGGGCCACCCTTGTGGCCGCTTTCACCCCCCTGGTCAGTGCTTTGCTCAGCTCACTGACACGGTCCGGTTGGCCTACGGGGTTGGCGGTCCTGCCCTTGACTGGCTTCCTCTGGTTCAGCGCTACGGCTCCGCTCTGTGGGGCATGTCTGCTGAGCAGTTAGTTGATCTGATTGGTGCTCCTCATGCTATGTATGCTGTTGTTGACTCTAGTGTTTCTGACTCTGCTTACTCTGGTGTTGTTAGCTTAGGTGCTAGCCTTGCTCAGTTGCCTGTTGCTAGTGTAGGTTCTTGTGTAGACTCTAGTCCAGCGGCTACCTCAGAGGACGGTTCGCTGTCGTTCACGCTGGACTCTGGAGCCTCTCACTGCTTCTTTCGTGACAGCACGACACTTACGCCTCTTCCTGCGCCTGTTTCTGTGGCGCTGGCTGATCCCACTTCGGGACCAGTCACCGCGCGTCACACTACCACCTTGCCGTGTCCGGCTGCTCCTTCTGGGTCTCTCACTGGGTTTCACGTCCCCTCGTTCTCCCGGAACTTGGTGGGCGTGCGACCCCTTGTGAGTCAGCACGTGGGTGTGTGGTTTGAGCCTTCTGGAGAGACTGCGGTGTGTGTTGACGGGGACTCTTACCAGCCCCTCGCCACTTTTGCTGCTGAGCCGGGCTCCGGTCTCTACACTCTTCACACTGGCCCGCGCGCTCAGCAGCGACTGCAGCAGCAGCAGCAGCCGCAGCAGCAGCCGCAGCAGCAGCCGCAGCAGCAGCAGCGGCAGCAGCAGCAGCCGCAGCCACAGCGGCCGCCGTCACAGCAGCCCCTCCTCCCAGTTCCTGTCCCTCCCCCTAGTCTCCTCCCTGCGTCTCACCAGGTGGTTCCGTCCTCTCAGGTTGTCGCGTCCAGTCCAGTCGCTGCGTCTTGCTCCTGTCGGTCGCTTGCCCACCCCACCGTTCTGTGGCACCACCGGCTGGGACACCCTTCTCTTCCACGTCTGCGTGCTATGTCTAGTCAGCGTCTGGTCTTAGGTCTCCCGCGTGTCTTGCCGTCGCTGCCGCCGTCCCTTGCACCACCGTGCGGTCCTTGCGTCGAGGGTAGGCTGCGTGCCACCCCTCACTCCTCCTCCCTTCGTCCGGCCACCGAGCCTTTTGAGACACTGCACTTGGACGTCTGGGGCCCCTCTCCTCGCCCTGGCCCTGAGCGTGAGCGTTTCTTTTTGGTGGTCGTTGACGACTACTCCCGCTACACCACAGTGTTCCCCCTGGCGAGGAAGTCTGAGGTGACTTCTACGCTGATCAGGTGGTTGCTTACCACCCAGGACACTCGTGGTCGTCGTGTCAGCTGTCTCCACTCCGACCGCGGGGGCGAGTTTCGCTCCGGCATTCTCGCTGGATTCTGTCGCGAACAGGGCATTCGTCAGTCCTGGACGCTTCCGGAGTCCCCACAGCAGAATGGGGTTGCTGAGCGTCGCATAGGCCTGGTCATGGAGATTGCCCGCACCTCCTTGACTCACGCCCGTGCCCCCCATTTCCTGTGGCCATACGCAGTCAGGTACGCCGCGCACCAGCTGAACCTCTGGCCACGCGTCTCTCGGCCGGAGGCTTCACCGACCAGTCTTTGGACAGGGTCCCCTGGTGTCGCGTCGAGGTTTCGTGTCTGGGGGTGCTTGGCTCTTGTCCGCGACACCTCCGCGGACAAGCTCTCGCCTCGCGCCGTTTCTTGTGTCTTCCTTGGTTTCCCTGAGGACTCCTCTGACTTCACCTTTTACCACCCTCCCTCTCACCGGTTCTTTGACTCCCGTGACGTCCGTTTCGAGGAGTCCACCCCCTACTACGTCAGGTACCCCAGTCGAGGTCTCCCGGTTCCTCCTCCCCCCCTCTTCCTGACAGCCGCTCCCCCGCCTGCTCCCCCGGTACAGCCTCCCCCCCCTGGTCCAGCCCCGTCTGGTGTGTCTCAGGCTAGCCCTCCCCCTTCGGTAGCCCCCCCTGTACAGCCTCCCTCCCCACAGTCTTCCTCGCCGCCTCCTGCAGGTGCTCCCTCTCGGGAGGTTGGTCCTGCGACTGTCCCTGTACAGGTCTCTGGTTCTGGGGGTGCTGGAGTTGGAGCTGAGCCGCGGGTTGCAGAGGACTCTTGTCTTCCGGGGGCTGGTACTGGTCGTGCGGAGTCTGGGGGTGCTGGTGCGGAGTCTGGGGGTGCTGCGTCTGGGGGTGAGGGTGTTCCTTCGGTTTCTGGAGAGCCTGGGTCTGGAGCTGGTGTTGGTGCTGCCTCTGGGGGTGGTGTGCTTGGTGCTTCGGAGGTCGACTCTGGGGCTGCCGCTGCCCCGGACACTACTCCTTCCCCCCACCCCTACCCGACCAGGTTCCAGGCTCGTGTTCGCCGTGCTCGTGAGGAGCAGCTGGAGTTGGAGAGAGAGGAGAGAGAGTTGCAGCGGCTCGAGGAGCAGGAGCGACAGCAGCAGGGGCAGCAGCCGCTGGAGCAGCAGCAGCCGCAGCAGCCGCAGCAGCAGCAGCTGCCGTCTCCTCCTCCTGTCTCGGGTCTTCGGACCCTTGGTCTCCCCTCTCCCTCTCCTTCCTCCTCCCCCTCTCCTCCCGTCTCTGGTCCTCCGCTTCCTCCTCCTGACCCCTCTCCCGCTGTTTTCCCTCGTTCTCAGTCTTCGTTGTCCCCTCCTCCTTCTCAGACTTGGGCCTCTCGTCGCTCCCCTCGTGCTCGTCCCTCGTCTCCTGTTCCCTTCACTGACCTTCGTACTGCCTTACTTCGTTCTAGTCCACCTCGTCCGTCTCCGTCTGTGCTTCCGTCTCCTCCTGAGTCGGCTCTCACTGCGTCGCTCCCTACTCCTGTCACTGACTACTACCGCACGTACCGTCCTCTTCTCTCTCGTGTTCTCGCCTCTCTTGTTACCCACCCTCGTGCCTCTGTGTCCTCTGTGTCCGCTCTTACTGCCGCAGTCACTGAGTTTGCCTCTACCCGCCGCCTTGACTTCGCCACCGCTCTTGTGGCTGCTCCTCCTTCCAGTCCTCTGGCCGTCGGGGGTGTGTCTGCCCTTGGCTGTGACGCCCTAGAGGACAGGCAGTTTGAGCTAGAGTTCCTGGCGGCCGCTTCCCCTCATCTCTGTGCCATGCTCCTCGCCCCTGAGGGTGACCCCGACGCCCTTGACATTCCGACTCCTCGCACTTACGCTGAGGCAGTGTCAGGGCCTTGGGCCTCTCAGTGGAGAGCTGCCATGGACGCAGAGATGGCCTCCTACAGATCCACAGGCACCTACGTCGATGAGGTTCCCCCTCCGGGGGCGAACGTAGTCGACGGCATGTGGATCTACAGGGTGAAGCGGCCACCGGGATCTCCTCCGGTCTTCAAGGCACGCTACGTGGCTAGAGGTTTCAGTCAGCGCGAGGGAGTTGACTTCTTTCAGACCTTCGCGCCCACCCCGAAGATGACCACTCTTCGGGTGTTACTACACGTAGCAGCACAGAGAGACTACGAGTTACACTCTCTTGACTTCTCTACTGCTTTCCTTCAGGGCAGTCTTCACGAGGAGGTCTGGTTGCGTCGTCCCTCTGCCTTCACTGGCTCTTTCCCTCCTGGGACCCAGTGGAGGCTGAGGCGACCGGTTTACGGTCTTCGTCAGGCTCCTCGTGAGTGGCACGACACCCTGCGTTCTACCCTGTCTGACCTTGGGTTCCAGCCGTCTTCTGCTGACCCGTCGCTGTTCGTTCGTCGTGGCCCCACACCTTTCTTTGTTCTGGTCTACGTTGACGACCTTGTTTTCGCCACCCCTGACAGGGTTGCTTTGGCACACGTGAAGTCCGAACTGCAGAAGAGACACACCTGCACTGATCTTGGTGAGCTGCGCCACTACCTTGGCCTGCAGATCACCAGGGACAGAGCTGCTCGCACCATTACACTTTCACAGTCGCACATGGTGCAGCAGGTCCTTCAGCGGTTCGGGCTTCAGCACTCCACAGTACAGCGCACACCTCTTGCTGTTGACCACAGACTCACTGGACCCTTTCCTGACGAGCCGTTCGAGCCTAGTGGTCCCTACGCAGAGCTTGTGGGTTGCCTCATGTACCTGATGACTTGTACTCGCCCGGACCTCGCCTTCCCTCTCAGCGTTCTTGCGCGCTTTGTTGCGCCAGGGAGACACCGTCCTGTTCACTGGACAGCAGCTGTGAGGGTGGCGAAGTACCTAGCGACGACGTCAGGCGTGGGGCTAGTTCTTGGAGGGCAGCAGTCTGTCGTACTTACTGGTCACTGTGACTCCTCTTACGCTGACGACGCTGAGACTCACAGGTCTACTCAGGGGTACTGTTTCAGCCTGGGTTCTGGAGCTGTTTCCTGGCGGTCCACGCGCTCCTCTTCGGTCTCGACCTCTACAGCTGAGGCTGAGATCTACGCTGGTGCCATGGCGGCACAGGAGCTGCGTTGGTTGACCTTCTTGCTCACCGACCTTGGTGAGCGGCCGAGCTCTGCACCGACCTTGTTCACTGACAACAAGGCGTCTATTCTCCTTTGTCGAGAGCCACGACTGGAGAGCAGAGTGAAGCACATTCACGTCAGGTACTTTCTTCTGCGAGAGTTGCAGAGGCGTGGACAGGCTCGCTTTGAGTTTGTGGAGTCCGAGGCCAACACTGCAGACATCTTCACCAAGGCGCTTCCGCCTTGTGACCACCAGAGGTGCTGTGTGCAGTTAGGCCTTGTTGACACTGGTTCTCGTGTTGCTTAGGCTTGAGTGTACTGTTTACTTTGCTTTCTATATACCTCTGTTACTTCTTGGACTGGCCTTGTGGCCACTGTTGTTTGTGCTCAGACTGTGTGGTGACGTTGTGATCCACCCTGAGCTTCGTTTCTTGGACTGGTCTTGTGACCGTACTCGTTTGGTTCTGCTAGACACCCCTCACTTAGGCTATGGGGGTGTGTCAAATGTTGTAGCCTATAGTGAGGTTTGTCTTAGGGGGTACAAAACTTAGGGTTAGCTATATGTACCCCAACCAACATCAATGCATCATCCATTCCTCATTCTGACACCAGCCTACGAGACAAACGGCCACTATTGGGTCGGACGTCTGTGATATTGCCACTGAGGCATAATTGTGGAGACTAATTCCAAGCTAAACTGATTTATCTGTAAATCATTCCAACCAGATTTTGTTCAAGTGAGCACCTGAATTCATTATTCAGTATTACTTGCATATTGTATTTTTGTGCTCTTATGTTTTACCATCCGAATGGGGAATCATTTCGTTTGTGCCTGTTTCCATCAAGCGTAAGGATGAATATGAAAGCAACCGCAACGAGGAGTTTGCGTAGAGAACGAGCGGTGGAGAGCGGTCGAGCTCTCTTCCACAACCAGCAGCGGTGGAGCCAAAGTCGGTGTTCACATCACAACTGGAATACGAGTTCCCATGTTCACAGCTGCAAATTATGCAACTCCTTCAGTTCGCAAACAAAGAACCATCAACTACCGTCCGTGAAACACGGACGGGACCTGCGATCCCCTAACACTTCTCCAGAAATACGCCCTGAATTTCCATCCATAGGTTCCTACAATCGCTATGCGATCAAGCATACGGATGCCTTGCGCAACAGATTACGTCGTCCTAGTATGTCAACGAGTATACTCACGCAACAGCTTTCGTCATACTAAGGATCGCACGGAAACGATATTGATCCATGCAACAAATGGCAGAATGACACGTATCTCGTGATCTCCAGGCGATTAATAGGTGGAGGGAGGCAGTATCACCCTGCGGAGGGAGTTCGGAACTCCTCGACATCCCTGTGTTTCTATTGTGTTTCTATTGAGAAATTCTCGAGAGTCGTCCAAAATGACGGAAGCCACAAGCACAGCAGGCGAGTTCACCGGCTGCTGCCGCTGCGAAGTTCAGGGACCGTAGATTCGAATAAAAAGGGCACCTTGATTACGTCCCTATTCTTGGAGCTTGGTCTGCCCACTGGCCAATGGTCAGTCTCGGGGAATGCTACGTCTGTATTCTTGAAGCTTGGTTTTCCACCCAATTTGCCTGGAAATGGCTAGCATGGCCGCAAGCCAGCTTTGTTTCAATCCCAATTTGCCCTGCCGTTAAAGGGGTAAACGCGACAATTTCCCCTTTTCAACATCTAGATTGATTTCCCCCCCCCCCCCCCCCCCCCCCCCCACTCTCCGCCAGCAGCACCTTCCAAGAAGCTCTCCCGCCGCCGGTCCTCCAAGCGGAAGGGCTGGGCGGCAGTGACGTCATCATGGGCGGCGGTGTTTGTCGTGGCGCTGGGCCTGCTGACGTGGACGCTGTACCTGTACTCTGCCACCCACCGCCTGATCTCTCCGCCATCTACCTCTGGCTCAACTTTTTCCTCACCTCGCAAGCTGCAGCAGGTCGTGATCCCCCCTCCCCCCTCCCCCCTCTCCCGTCTCCCCCTTCTCCGTGCTCTCTCTGCCCCCCCACCTCCCCCTGCCCCCCCTCCTCCCCCTGCCCCCCCTCCTCCCCCTGCCCCCCCTCCTCCCCCTGCCCCCCCTCCTCCCCCTGCCCTGCCTCCTCTCCCTGTCCTCCCTTCTCTTCCTTTTCCACTCCCTCTCCCCCCTCCCCTCGTTTTCTTTTCTCCCTCCCTCCGTCGCTCTCTTTCCTCTCATTCCTCTCCCTCCTCTCTCCTTTTCTTTCTCCTCTCCCTGCCCTCCCTCCTTTCTTTTTAATCCCTCCCTCCCCTCTTTCCCCCTCTCTCCCTGCCCTCCCTCCTCTCCCTCCCTTTTCCTATTCTCGCTGATCACCACACTTCTCCCTGTTGCTTCCCCTCTTCTCGTTTCCTTCCCTTCTTGTGCATCCCAACCCTAACGCGACCTTTCCCGTGCCCTCGTCCTTCCTCTCTCCCTTCCCTTCCTTCGTCGTCATTCATTTACACCAACTGCACCAATCAGATCACGCCACGTGACAGGTCAGGGCAGCTGTCGGTAGGAGGAAGCAGGGAGCAGGAAAGGGAGCAGGCAGAGGGAGAAGCAGTGCGTGTGGGGGAGGATGAGGGCATGGGGCAAAGGCGAGGTGTGGCTGGGGACAAAGGGGTAAAGGATGGGGAAGAGAGGGACAATGGGGTTGATAAACGGCAGGAGAATGGCAACGAGCAGGGAGGGAGAGAGGGGCAGGGAGAGGGGAGGATACATGGGAAGGGAGGAGGAGATGGAGGGAAAGATAGGACAGCACTGGAGCAGGGAAAGGGGGAAAGGGACGGGGTGATGGGGACGTTGGAAGAACAGATGAAGGCGTTAAAGCGACAGCAGGCAGAGGTGCAGGCGTGGGAGGAGGAGGTGATAAAGAGAATAGGGGCAGTTGAGAAGCGGGAGTGGGATGTTGCGAGGAAGGAGAAAGAGATTGAGGCAAAGATGATGGAGATGAAGGAACGGAAGGGGGATGAGGGTGTGAAGGAGTGGGAAAGGGAGGGGGAAGAGGAAGAGGCAGAATTGGGAGGGTTCATGAGAGTGAGTTCGAGAAGAGAGGAAAGGGCTGGTTTGGGGGGAGCTAGTAACGCAAAGGGCTCGGAAGTGACTATGAAGGATGTGACAGCAGACAAATCGCAGACGAACAGCAGTGCTACTGTTGAGATCATGAAGGGCGTGACTCTAGTGAAAGCGGGGAAAGGAAAGTCAGGAGCAGGAGCAGCAGCAAGAGCAGGAGGAAGAGAAGGGGCTGGGGGTGGTGGTGGCAGGGGCGTGCGGCATGATGTGATGGAAGCACTTCAGATGCTGAAGCTGGGTGTGAGAGCGTTGCAGGAGAACGTTGAGACGGTGCTGCACACTGAAAGCAGGTGAGGGGGGTGCTTGTTGTGGGGCACGTTAACAGCAATTAGCACCCAAGTATGCGGCATGATGTGATAGAGTGGAAGCGCATCAGATGCTGAAGCTGGGTCTGAGAGCGTTGCAGGAGAACGTTGAGACGGTGCTGCACACTGAAAGCAGGTGAGGGGGGAAAATTGAGGGCTGCGTCTAAGATGGCTGGGAGAGAGTATTGAGGCTGGGGGAGAGTATTGAGGCTCATTGTGAGGCGCCTCCAAAGAATGCAGAGGCTCTTGAGAGTCTTAAGCTGAGTAGTTGGAGAGGGCTGGGGGAGCATTTTGAGGCTGGGGCAGAGGCTGGGGGGGAGTATTGAAGCTGATTTTGAGGCACTTGAGAATCTTAAGCTGCGTAGTCTGAGAGGGCTGGGATGAGCCTGCGTCACACTAGCACTCCCTTTCTTGTGCTTCTTCTTCCTCCCTACGTGTCCCCATTCCCCTATCCCTCCATCATCCCAGCCCATACCCTCATGGCCTCAACACAACACGGGTGCAGCATTCCTGCACTGATGACACTAACCCTCCCCTTTCCCTGTTCCCTTCCCAGCCTATATCCTCATGCCTTCAGCACGGGTGCATTGTAGCGTCCCGTCACCAGTGGCACTACCCTTCTCCTTTCTGTGCGTCTTCCTCCCGTTTACCTATTCTCCGTCCCCCCGTCCTCCCAGCCTCCACCCTCACGCCTTCAACGCGAGTGCAGCATTCCTGCACCTCCCACTGGGCTCTAGGGTGTTTTTGAGAATTCTCAAAAACACCCTACTGCACCTTCCACAGGGCTCCGTTGAGACTGCCGGTGACACTCCTAATTACCCTCGTTTTCCTGCTCTCTTTCCTTTCCCCATTTCCTCATCCCCTCATCTCCCCATCCTCCCAGCCTCCACCCGCACGCCTTCAACGCGAGTGCAGCATTTCTGCACCTCCCACCTGGCTCCACTGAAACTGCCACACCACCAGCAGCAGCGGGAGCAGCTGCAAAAGCAGCAGCAGCAGCAGCAGCAGCAACGGCAGCAGCAGCAGCAGCAGCAGGGCCAGAAGGATCCCATGCAGCAGCGGCTGCAGCCCCCAAGGCTCCAGAACCCCCGAAGCAGTTTGTGCGGCCGGCAGTGGAGAGGCCGCTGGTGATAGCAGGCATGGTGTATAACCGCGTGTTTGATGGGGACTACACTCGCTTCTGGGCGCTGCATGTGTGGCAGGTGAGTGTGAGGGAGGGTATGAGGGTGGGTGTGAGGGAGGGAATCGCATCAATCCAGCATCAGTAGAGTGAATAGCACACATGCTTGACAACAGAGAGCTGTTTTGTTCACTAGTTTCTTTCATGTTCTGTTCTGTTTCTTCCTCTTTTCTGCTGTCCTTGTTTCTGGTTCTGCTGCTCTCTCTGTTTCTCCTTTCTGTTTCCGTTCATGTTTATGTTTGTGCTTTTCGTTCTGTTCTTACTTCCCTTTCTCCTGTGCGTGCAGTGGTTGGAGTACCATCGCTATGCAGGAGTGACTAAGTTCTATTGGTACGACGAGGCCAGGAGCACCGATGAGGACCAGGTGAGTGTGTGTGTGTGTGTGTGTGTGTGTGTGTGTGTGTGTGTGTGTGTGTGTGCGTGCGTGCGTGCGTGCGTGCGTGTGTGTGTGAGTGGGAAGGTGCATTGGTGCTCCGGGACCAGGTGAGTGTGTGCATTGGGCAGTCATGGAATTGCTGTTGAGGACGCGGTGCTCGCCCCTTACATTGATGCCGGCCTGGTGGTATACCACCGCGTGCACGAGCTGCACAGGGCTTGAGAACCGCTCCTGCCGCCCCTTCCACTCCCCTCCCCACTCCCCCCATCTGTCACAGGACGTGGTGCTAGCTCCCTACATTGATGCCGGCCTGGTGGTATACCACCGCGTGCGGGAACTGCCCTTCGTTGGAGGAAATTTCACGGAATACCTGGAGAGAATGTTTCGGTGCAAGCAGGGTGCTGCTTACAACCACTGGGTGAAGGTGGGTTGGAGGGGGTGGGGAGGAAGACCATTTGAGTGACCTTGTAAGTCACCTGGTCTGGTACTGATTTCACAGCGATCCCTGGAAAGGATGATCAGGTGCAAGCACGGGACTGCGTACAACCACTGGGTGCTGGTGGGGAGGGGGCAGGAACGAGGGTTACATTGAAGGCGAGAAAGGGGGAGGTGGAGAGGGGAAAAGCAGGGGGCTATCAGAACCTTTTAACGAATTAAAGTACCACCAGTGAACAACTGACGTGTGTCAGAATAAATCAAGTATCTAGTACTTCCACATCATCAGAATTTTCCTCTCTCCTTCCCCTTCCTTTCTCCTCTTCCTTTTCCTTCCTCTCTCGCAGCAATATGCATCCGAAGTGCACTGGGCCTTCCACACCAATATAGGTGACCTTTTCCCTTCTTCCACATCAGAAATTTACTCTCTCCCTTCCCCTCTCACCCTCTTCCCTTCTCGCTTCCCATCCGCCCAGCACTATGCATCGGAGGTGCACTGGGCTTTCCACACCGATATCGACGAGTATTTCTTTTCCCCGGCCGGCACGCCGCCCGGCTTTCTTCGTCACTACCTGCAGACACTGCCAAATACGACAATACAGGTGGGTGGTTTTTTTTTTCCTTCTTTTCATTTCTTTTCTTTTCTTTCTTTCTTTCTTTGCTGCAGCATTACCAGATGCAGATTAGACTTGGCCACATGGGTAGGCATGTGAACACACACACATGCACTCACGCATGCACGCTTGCACGCACCCCATCGGTCCCTACACCAGCATGTTTCTCGGGCACTGCGCCTTGCATCAATCCCAACTCGTCCCAGCGCCCCTGCACCAATCTTAACTCCTTCCAAACCCTCTCTTTACCCTTGTGGCCTGCCCCTTCCCGTTTTTTCTCCCATCCATCCATACAGGTTTTGGTCCAGAATCTTTTTTCCTCAAAAACCCAATAGGCCCCACACCGACACGCTGTTTTTGAGGCGCCTCAAAAGACGATTTTTTAAGCGCCTCAAAAATGGTCCAGAAGTTTTTTTTCCTCAGGGACCCAATAGGCCCCACACCGACACACTGCTAGAGCGCTACGCTCTCCGCATGCCCAAGTCAACCCAGCGCCACCGCACCCAACCGATTGCAATGCTGCCCCTCGCCGTTCACCATGACGACGCCCTTCAAGAGCTATTCACTATTCTCTACTCTCCTCCTCTCACTCTCCCATTCCGTCCTCCCATCCCCCCTCAGGTTCTGATTCAGAACGGATTTTCCCTTGGAGACCCAATCGGTCCCGACACCGACATGCTGCTAGAGCGCTACACCCTCCGCATGCCCGACGTGTAGCGAGGGTGTTTTTGAGACGTCTCAAAAACACCCTCGCTACACGTGACACCGACATGCTGCTAGAGCGCTACACCCTCCGCATACCCAACTCCTCCCCAACTCCTTCCGAATCCTCTCTCTACACATGTTCTTCCCCTTCCATCCTCCCATCCACTCACAGGTCCTGGTTCAGAACGTCTTTTTCCTTGGAGACCCAATCGGTCCTGACACGGACACGCTACTAGAGCGCTACACGCTCCGCATGCCCAACTCCTCCCAGAGGCACCTCCTCTCCCTACCTTCCTGTTCTCTCCCCCTCACAGATCCTTTTTCAGAACATGTTTTTCCTTGGCGACCCAATAGGTCCCGACACCGACACGCTACTAGAGCGCTATACCCTGCGCATGCCACAACACCTCCTCTCCCCACCTTCCTGTTCCCTCCCTTTCAGGTTCTGGTCCAGAACATGTTCTTCCTGGGGGATCCAATAGGTCCCGATACCGACACTCTATTAGAGCGCTACACCCTGCGCATGCCAAATTCTTCCGAGCGCCACCGCACTAAACCCATTGGATGGCTGCCTCTTGCAGTCAACCTCACAGACGACTGCATTAACCCCCACGAGTGGCCTATGCTGGAGAATGGCCCGCCGCGATTGGTCGATACGGAGATCTTGAGGCTGAATCACTACTGGGGAGACCGCGCTGGGGTGATTTCAGACATTACCCCGGTTTATACGATGGATGTTACGATGATGGACGAGTATGGAGACGGGCTTGTGAAGGATGATTCGGCCAAGGTGAGGGATGAGCTGGCACGGGGGAGGGATGAGCTGGCACGGGGGAGGGATGAGCTGGCACGGGGGGAGGGATGAGCTGGCACTTGGAAGGGATGAGCTGGCACGCGGCGGGGATGAGCTGGCACGTGGGAGGGATGAGCTAGAAAGGAGGTGTGTTCTGATGCTGATACGATCCATGCCTTCTTATCCTATTGTGTCCCCGTCACCCCGCTACAACTCCCCCGCCCCCCTTCCTTCCTCCCATCTTCCCTTTTCTTCTCCTCCCTTCCATTCCCTCCCACCCTCCTTTTCTTCCTCTCCCTCTCCTTGCGCCCCCAAACCCTCCTCTCCTCGCCAGCCCATGGGAGTGTGGCTGCGGCAGCGTTTTTTGAGGCACCTCATAAATCACCTTTTCTCCCTCTCCCTCTCCTTGCGCCCCCGAACCCTCCTCTCCTCGCCAGCCCATGGGAGTGTGGCTGCGGCAGCGCATGCAGGTGGCATGGGCATTCATATCAGCACAGGCGGTTCACAAGGAGAGGGAGCGACTCAGGAAACGTGTGGCTGAGGTGAAGACACATGTCAGGCAGCTAGTGGCTCTCATGCCTCGCCTGCTCAAGCAGGGAGGAGGAGAGGTAGTGAGGAGAGGAGGAGGAGGAGAAAAGGGAGGAAAGGAAGGGGAGGAGAGTGAGGAAGCAGGGGGATTGGGGGATGGGATGAGCATGGATGTGAGTGGACTGACAGGGGATGAGGCCTTGGGGGAGGGTGATGGTGATGGTGATGGTGGTGGTGGTGGTGGTGGTGACATGATGCTGGGAGGGAATCTCATGTTGGGTGAGTTTTTCCTTGCGGATATTTTCAATGCCACAAACGCTACGGCTGCTGCAAATGCTACAGCTGGTGTGAATGTTACTGTTGGTGCTAATGTTACTGCCAGTGCGAATGTTTCGGCTGCTGCTGGTGCTACCACCAAGGGTGCAGCTGGTGCTACCAAGGGTGCTGCTGATGCTACCAAGGGTGCTGCTGATGCTACCAGAGTTGCGAACAGCGGAGGAGCAAGAAAGGTCGGTTCTCAGGCTGCAGTGGCTGTGGCACCCGCTGTCCCGGTTGGTGCTGCTGATTCTACCGGAGGTGCTGCTGATTCTACCAGAGGTGTTGCTAATGCCGCCAGGGGCACAAGCACCAGAGAAGCTAGAAGAGCCGATTCTCTGCCTGCAGTGGCTGTGGCACCCCCTGCACATGATGCTGCTGACGTTGGGACTCGCAAAACGTCGTCTTCGCTGGAGTTGGGTGCAGGACGAGGTGATGAGAGGAGTGATGTGAGGGTTGGAGTTTCAGCAGCTGTAACAGCTGTGGTTGATGAGAGTAGGAATGGGTATGAGAAAGGGAAGATGAGTGCTACGGGGATGTCAGCTGGTGGTGCTGCTACTGGATTTAGTGGTGGTGGTGAGAGTAGAGGAATAGCGGCTAATGAAGCGGGTTATGATGCAAGAAAAATGAGATTGGGTCAACAACACGAGCTATTGCATGGAGAACGGACAGATGACAGTTTTTTCAAGGAAGATTGATGATTATACTTTGAACTGAAGTTCATTTGTTGATATGACAAAATGTTTTCCATGTAGTGCCACCAAGTAATGTAGCCGTACCATGTTTACATTGAAGTTGTGAATATACTATTTTCCAGACTGTTGGCCAGATCGTTAATACTTGTATGCTGGATAGCAGTAAGATAGCAGTAAGATGAAATGTACAGAGCAAGAGAATGTGAGTGCACAAAATGTGGACATTATTGAACCCTTGATCGTACGCTTCCGATTTTCCTCTAGTCACCAGAATGTGCGCTAGTAAGGCGCCTCGTTAACAAAAAGTTTAGGGTAGAAACCCTCTTCCTTGACCCTGAACGCGGTTCTCTTTCCTTCGACTCTCTACCTACACGTTGACCCTTGCAGATACAAGGTACCGGAAGATGTACGGACAGCAAAGCAAACCTCCGTAAGTGTCGTTCAGTTCGAATTCAGCGCGCCCATTCTTGATAGGGTAGAAGCGCGACCAGCTAGCAGCAGGTGATTCGGAGACATTATGTGGTGTTTAACTATCAACCCAAGGTACCCTGACTCGTTTCAAAAAGGGTGGAGGAAAACCCGAACTTGTTTGGAATATCGCAAAAATCTCCCCAACAACATTCCCCCCTCAACCCCAGAGGGATCTGGACGAAACTCCCAAGAGATGTAGAGCAACAAGGGGAGTGGAAGTCGGGCCGCTAACCACGGAGTCAACAATTATTTCTTCCCACCGCATACTTGGAATCTCCGCTATATGCGCGCAGCATCCAGCAGGAAGCATGCTCCAGTCACTAGCGTGTGCATAAATGTCAGTTCCTAGAATTTCTTATTCTTCAGTTTGCGGAACTACAACTCTTTACCACACTACAATCACGACAATAACTCTCCTAACAATCCTCGCAACAATCTAGACTCACTCCGAAGAGTATTTGCAGTCTTACTCTCGTTGCTTCGCCATGGGCGCTCTTCGTTCTATCTTCTCGCTCGCCCTTCTTCTCGCGTCTCTGAACCTCCTCGCAGCTGCGACGGCGCAAGCGGAGCGCGATGGGTATGCGGAAGGGCCGCGTCGAACTCATATACGTGGCACAACTAGTAGAACAACAACACTAAGAACTACTAGCCATGCACCGGCAGATTTGGTGCTGCCAGATTCAACCGCCAAAGGCGAGGTGATCGTGAATCGCGCGGGCGCGGCGGAAGACACGCGGAGAGCTGCGCTGCAGGACTCGTTCGCATTCAAACCTGCAGGCAGTGACCTCGCCTCGCAAATCCGCGATAAAATGTCGAGCGCCCGAGAATGGTGGGAGAAAGCCACCAAGCCGCCGCCCGTGAACAGGATTGGCTTCCCTGGTCGCCCTCCGGTCACCGAGAAAGACATGAGGAAGAAATATGGGCTGCCTTTGTAAGTTGGAAGATGCTCTAGTCACCACGCGTTTGTTGTGGAGCCTAGAAGATTATCTGCTGAGTGAGATGGGACTAATATCGAGACGCCGTTGACTTGTAATTAGACGATGCTCCTGGGATGAGCGTGCATGCGATGAGGGCAGGGGGGAAGAAATGTGTGTGGGAATGTGTGTGGATTGGATGTAAGAATGTGTGTGGATATCTGTGGGGAACCTGTGGGGGAATGTGTGGAAATGGGCGTGAGTTTCAAGTTACGGGTAGAGTTGACTTGCAGGGAGCTAGCTGGTGGTGAAAGGCAGGAAGGGCTTTACTGCAATGAGCTGTGAGGTCCTATAGTGCTTGCTCATCGGGCTGCCCTGGTATTAGACTCCCCTTGTTGGCCCTTTGTTCTGAGTAATAGTGCTGCTTGTTTTGTTTTTATAAATTGAACTGAGTTTATCTTAGTTGCTGGTGCAAAGTGTGTGCTGTTTGAAGGCTGTGCATGCCTCAACAATGTCATCATGGGAAGCAATGCATAGTGACAGTCTGACAGACTCCCTCTCTGCCAACTCTTGATTCTTGACTTTGGTTCAGCAACACAACGTTGAGGGCGGTTTGGGTGGATGACTTCCCGCCCATCATGCATTGTGCCAGTCAGGTGCTTCCACCAATGAAATCCATCAAATAAACCCGTCCAGGCAAACATAATATTTCATCCAAAAAGCATAGTGCAGATATTGCAAAGTAGTTAATGGCAGTGGTTACAACGATGCTTGTGTACCCTCCTCCTTGCCCGCTGGTTGGTCTCTCAAAACCTTGAAGATTGCACACAGACGCGAAGGCTTGAAAATCTGAAAAAGGGAGAGAAAAGGAAAAGGGAAGAGAGAGAGAAAAAAGTTTTAGGGTATGGATGTACATATTTTAAGTACATGCACTGTATGATTGGCCCTTGGTCCTCTGGCATACCTTGGATACGGTACCTAACCAATTGCCAGTAGTCCCTTTCTTTGATCTCTACACTAAACCTAGAATGGAATTCTCAGACTGCACACTGAACCTTGCTGTCCAATATTAGGACTAATACCGATAAATTCTCTGTCAAATATTTGGACCGATACCGAGCCTTGACGCCTAATCTTGGACTGATACCGGACCTTGCTGTCCAATCCTTTGACTGTACCGTCCTGAGACCATGAGAAACCCACCACGCCTTGCCGCACCTGTGCTTTGAACATGAAGTTGGGCGGCACATTGATAGTAATGTAGTGCTCCTTGTCCTCGTTGCACCCTTTCAAGTCCTTTCCCCCGAGCAGACCCTATCGTCCTGACAAACACTCCCCCCCCCCTGGACTCACTGACGCACCTGTGCTTTGAACATGAAGTTGGGCGGCACATTAATGATGATGTAATTCTCCTTATCCTCATTGTACTTCTCCAACTCCTGGAGCAGCAAGGTTGAGGGCAGGTGGGGAAGCAAGCCAGAAGGATTCATAGGCTTGATGGTACAGCACGATGAGGATGATGATGTAATTCTCCTTGTCCTCATTGTACTTCTCCAACTCCTGTGGGTTTGTGGAGGAGGGACCCAAGGAAAGGTCACACTTCAAGTATGCAGGCATGCAGCCATCTAGCCATGCAGCCATGCAGCCATGCAGCCATGCAGCCATGCAGCCATGCAGGCATGCAGCCATGCAGCCATGCACCCATGCATTCATGCAGCCCTGGGCCTGTTCCTTTCAAAGTATGTATGCTAGATGGCTTCACATCACATGCACCATGCCAAAGTGAATCACGGGGCTCCACGGCAATATGAAAACCTCTTACCTCTGTCGATCTTTGTTGACCTCTGCTGACCTCTGTTGACCTTTGTTGACCTGTGTTGACCTCTGTTGACCTGTGTTGACCTGTGTTGACCTCTGTTGACCTGTGTTGACCTCTGTTGACCTCTGTTGACCTCTGTTGACCTGTGTTGACCTCTGTTGACCTCTGTTGACCTGTGCTCTCGACTGTGCCATTAGGTTTCTCTCCTGTGACCTCTGTTGAAGCGCATGGTGGGGCTCCACGGCACGGCAGGGAAGAGCTCACCTCATGTATGTTTGCCCTGTTAGACCTGCATTGGCCTTTGTTGACCTACGTTGACTGGTGTTCTTCTGAACTCACCTGTGGCACGCCCAAGCGCGCCGTGGGGCTGCACGAAACGGGCGTGAAGATCTCACCTGGAGTCCTTTGACCTGCGTTGACCTGTGCTGGTATGAGAACGTTGACCTGCGTTGACCGTGATCGCATGCTAACCTGAGGCATGCCGAAACGCGTCCTGGGGCTCCACATCACGGGCGTGAAGATCTCACCTGGTCACTTTTGACCTGCGTTGACCTGTGCTGGTATGAGAACGTTGACCTGCGTTGACCTAACCTGTGGCATGCCGAAGCGTGTCGTGGGGCTCCACGGAACGGGCGTGAAGAGCTCGCCAGTGAACTCCGTCCCCGTGGTTCCAGCTGGCACGCCAGGCTGGCTCGCCACCTGGACGAACGGGATTGACGGGAGGAGGTCCAGGAGTTCCCAGGGAGGGTAAACATCAACTGGCATGTTTGAGACGGGAGTGTGATGGTTACAGTCACTCATCTTGGCAGTTTCATTCATGTTCGGAAGGCACGAGAAGATGGTACCTTCAAGATTCACTGGTCTCCTCACGAGGAGCTTGCCAAAGATGAATCTTAAAGACCAAGCCAAAGGATTGAGAGGCTCAACCAATCTGGTTCCCATCTGGCCAAGATGAACCAGACGCTCCTCTCGTCCCACCTGAGAAACTCAGTGTACTTCCCGTGCTCTCTCGCTCTCGTCGTAAGTTCTCTCCTGTGAGGACTCAGCAAACTCTTACGGGTCTCAAAGATCGTGTTTTGTTTGCCTCGGTGACCTGGCCCAGCAGCAAAAACCAGCCAGTAAAGCGCCTGCCTTTGCTTTTGCAATGCGGTGTAGGTGCGACTCTCATAACCACTGCCGACCTGCTACAGGCCACACGGCCTTTGCCGACCTGCTACAGCCAGCACAGCCTCTGCTGACCTGCTACAAGCCACAATACCCAACCCGCATAGGGTGGCGGCAACGCACTTGCTGCAGGAAGACGTCGGACGAGAGCAGATAGACAAGCACCTCCTTAGCCTGCCAGCAGTTGCCTGTTGAGTTGACTCACAAGTCACAAGGTCGGACACGCAGCCCGCACACGGTGTCGGCAACAACCCACACAGGGGGGCGGCAACGCACCTGCTGCAGGAAGACGTCGGACGAGAGCAGATACACGAGCACCTCCTTGACCCCTGTTGACATTCTACAGCCCACACAACCCCTATCGTTCTGCTACAGCCCACACTGCCCACACGGCCACCACTTCCCACGCCCACACTTTCAGCACTTCCCACACAGCCCACACAGGGTGGCGGCATCGCACCTGCTGCAGGAAAACGTCGGACGAGAGCAGATAGACGAGCACCTCCTTAGCCTGCCGGTGGAACGATACGCGCATGCACGGGGGACGGGCGCACGGGGATTGTCGCACGGGGATGGGGGAATGATATGAATGGGAGAATACGAATGGGAACATGGCGTGTTACGGGCGGATAGACACGCTCAACAGCATGGGTTCTAGACAGATGGCACCACCATGTACATAGATATGCGGTATCACGGGGATGACTTTTGAGTCGACTTAAAAGTCAGGGCGTGTTGCGGGGATAGACGCGCTCAACAGTATGGGGTTCAGCATTGGTTCTAGACAGATGGTACCACCATGGATATAGATAGGCGGTATCACGGGTATCCGTACGTAGCGACATGAGAAGTCCGCACATAGTCACTTCCGAATTCGTGCAAGTGATCAGAACGGGATTGGACTGCAGCGGCATTGAAAGATGGAATGCATGAGGGAATGAACGGCGTCTTTCGGGTTGATTTGTAAGTGCACGAGAAGGGGTGCACGAGAAGGGCAGGAGGTCGGAGAAACTAAGGGCGGTGTGATTATTAAGTCGGCTCAAAGGTCGAAGAACCCACATTTTGAATGAATGTGGAGGTGTGATTGTAACGAATTAAGCGCGGACTGGGCAACATGTGAGACTCTGGTTACTGATGGGCTAGGTTATGACTCGGTGCAATAACTTGGTGCGACGTAATCGGGCTCACCTGAGGGTCCAACTCAAAACTCGTATCGAAGCTCTCAACAGCGCGGATGCCTTGTACGACGTGCGAGCATCGCTGGATTCTGCCGCTGACGGTCGATTGTGCGAAGGGCGACGCTGATTGGTTGACGGAAGACGTGAGCGGTCTAACGGAAGCGATGATAGGCGAGGCGAGGGGACGTCGAGACGGGGTAGAGGAGGATGAGAATGTTGATGACGGAGACGCTAGCAGCGATTCGCCTAGAAGCGAGGACGCGAGAAGTGACTGGGCCATGGTCAACAGCGGGATAACGAAAACGCTTTAAAGTGCAATTTTACGTACAAAAAATAATTTTCACACTTGACGTGGTCGCGCGTGCGGCTTCAGTGTCTGGCTGATAGCTCTAGTAGCGAAGAAGCTGCACGAAGAAATGGCTCGAGCGACAATCAGTCAGCTTTGAAAATGTGTAGGAATTCTGGTGCAGTCTGTGATCAAATAAGACCGTGTGATAGAAATGGGTGGAAAAGTCAGGGTCAGGCGTAGCCGGATCATTGTGAGTTGTTGACCGCTTTCTCTGGTACGATTTAAATGTCAAGATGAGTAGAGCTCGTGCTGATCTATATCCGACATTTATCTCGACTGCTGACTGAAATTGTGAGGCGAGTCGACACCAGAAACTCGCCTTTTAGTAAATATCGTATCTGGTACGCGCTAAATTTCAGCAGCCATGCTGCCTGACTATGTTCTGAGCATTTTGAACGCGTAGGAAACACCCGAGAGAAGCAAAGAGCGAAGTGCATTCACCGTCAGCCAGTGAAATCTCCGCAATCCGCTTCGGCAAAGCTCTGCGCGGTAATGTCGAGGAGTCCGCACACGTGGCAATTCTGTGGTCAGGAAACACGCACCGTGCTAAGGTTCTTGTAACTCGATAAGGGGCAACCCATAGATATACCTAGGTAAAAGCATGTACAATTCGTAATGCGTTAATATAAATATATAGAAAGCCTAAATCAATAGGAAGGCCATTGTAAACACTGCAATGCTAAGTATCCCTTGTACATTCGCATTGAACACTGGAAAGGGAGGGATGGTGGAGACAAAACGGGAGGCGGGGAGGGAGAAAGAGGGGCAAGCATAAATTAATAGCAGCAGACCTCTTTGTTAAGATAGTAGCTAGAGGTGAGGAGCCATGCTAGGGTGAAGAGGAGAAAGTGTCGAGAGAGTTTAGGCAAGGAAAGAGGGTTTCACTATAGCACACAAGGTACATATAGCAAAGCAACAAAGAAGGTGCACCACCAACTCTTAATAATAATAACTACAGTAACTACAGCACGCAGGGTATATATTAAACATATTGTTTGACACACCCCCTTAGCCTGCGTGCAGTAGAAACTGGTGCAGCCAGCACCCCCTGAACGAGCAAACCAAGCGCTGTGGAAGAAGGCAGAGAAGTGAGGAAGGTGAGAGGAGAGGAGAGAAGAGGAGAGGAGAGGAGAGGAGAGGAGAGGAGAGGAGGTGGGGGGCCAGGACCGGCGGACCCGCTTACGAACCTCCTTTTACAAAGGGGAGGTGAGAGAGGGAAGGGAGAGGAGGTGGGCTAGGCGGGCTTGAGCGCGAAAGCTCATAGCGATCCCCCCCCGTTAAGAACCCCCAAGTCCCGATGAGGAGAGGAGGTGGGCTAGGCGGGCATGAGCGCGCACGCTCAATGCGATCCCCCCCCGTTAAGAACCCCCTAGTCCTCACCCCCCTCGTCACTCAACCCCGTCAACCTCACACCTTCCGCACCTGTCTTCTCCCGCCACCCCCTCACCCTTCTGCACTTCTCTCCCCCCCCCCCTACAGCAACAGTTGCTGCAGGGAGAGAGGAAGAGGGAAGGGAGGGAGGAGTGGCAGGCTCCTCACACCCGCCCCCCCCCCACAACCCCTTCCCCCTCCCTCCCCCCTCCCCACGACGGAAGCCGCGGAAGGGAGGGCGGGGGGGGGGGGGGCGGCGGTAGCTGCTGCTGGCGCTGGCGGCTGGCCGCGGCGCTGGCCTCCGCGCTGGCGGATTGCGGGGTGACGGGGGCGACGAAACGGGGGCCGCGTGGCGACGAAACGGGGGGGCAGCGGGCGACGGGCAGGGCGTCCGCGGGGCAGCCGACGGGGCGTCCGCGAGGCAGCGGGCGACGGGCAGGGCGTCCGCGGGGCAGCCGACGGGGCGTCCGCGAGGCAGCCGACGTGGCACGTTCGGGGGGACGGGCAGGGCGCGCGCGACGGGCGAACGGGGAGAAAAAAAAAATAGCGCATTTCGCGCTGTAGTACGGGCGGGCCCATGATTCTTTAAAAAAAAAAAGAGAAGGTTCCGGGAAAGAACCAGCTCTGTACCATGTTAAGATAGTAGCTAGAGGTGAGGAGCCATGCTAGGGTGAAGAGGAGAAAGTGTCGAGAGAGTTTAGGCAAGGAAAGAGGGTTTCACTATAGCACACAAGGTACATATAGCAAAGCAACAAAGAAGGTGCACCACCAACTCTTAATAATAATAACTACAGTAACTACAGCACGCAGGGTATATATTAAACATATTGTTTGACACTCTTTTCCCCCAGGATTAGCAGGCCCGGTGGGAGAAACAGAACATAATCAGCCCATTCCACTCCCAGCCTGCCATTGCTCTCCCTCTCCCTCTCCCTCGCCCATTTCCAATTCCTTTCTCAGACCTCGTCCCACAGCAAGGGCAGGTCGATGGGAGGAACAGAACATGATCAGCTCCTTGCACGGAGTACCTACCTCTCCTCCCAGCATTGGCAGGCCCGGCGGGAGGAACCAGCACGTGCTCAGCCCCTTGCACAGCCAACTTGTCAGGGCTCTCCCAAACCCTTTTCACCACCGTATAAACCTCTCCTCCCAAAATTGGCAGGCCCGGTGGGCGGAACCAGCACGTGGTCAACGCCTTGCACGGCCAGCCTCCCACATCAGCAACGGCATCTTTGACGGCGAGCAGGACAGTGGCAGCGGCGGCAGTGACAGAGTAGGCGGTGTAGGGGCTGTCCCTCACAGGCGTGTTGGCGCTGGCGCTGCCACTGCCACTGCCACTGCCACTGGCACTGGCATTACCAAACAACCCCATACTGCCTCTCTCTACCCCCTTTCCGTACCTTTTCCCCCTGCATTGGCAGGACCGGTGGGAGGGACCAGCACATGGTCAGCGCCTTGCACGGAAAGCCTCCCATCAGCAACAGCATCCTTCAGGGGGGGCAGAACAGTGGCGGCGGCAGTGACAGAGTAGGCGGTGTAGGGGCTGTCCCTCACAGGCGTGTTGGCGTTGGCCGGCACGCGGAACACCAGCGACTTGTCGGATTCGATGTGGATCTGAATGGTTTGATTTGTGTTTACTGAGTATATGTGCCCGTGCTGGGGCGCCTGTGTGACAGAGGGAAGGGGAAAGCGCAGAAAAGGGGAAGGGAGAGAAGGAGGGAGTGGTGGGACGGGTGATGAGGCACTGGTAGGACAGTGGTGGCAGCAGTGACAGAGTATGCAGTGTAGGGGCTGTCCCTCACAGGCGTGTTGGCGTTGGCCGGCATGTGGAACACCAACGACTTGTCCGACTCTACGTGCACTTGAATGGTTTGATTTGTTCCCACTGCGTATATGTGCCCGTGCTGTGGCGCCTGTTGGGTTAGGAGGGGGGAGGTGGGAAGGGAGGGAATGGCGTTGGCCGGCACGCGGAACACCAACGACTTGTCCGACTCTATGTGCACTTGAATGGTCTGGTTTGTTCCCACTGCATATACGTGCCCGTGCTGGGGCGCCTGTGGGAGAGGGAGGAAGAGAGGGAGGGTGGGGAGAGGAAGGTAGTGTGGCTCGAGGGACTTGTCCGACTCTGTGGATCTGAATGGGCTGATTCATGCCTTGAGGCGCCTCAAAACACGTCTGAATGGCCTGATTCATGCCCACCGTGTACACATGCCCGTACTGGGGCGCCTGAAGGTTTAGAGAGCGGGATCAGGGAGTGACAGAGGGTGTTGGGGGGACAAGTTATGCGGCACTGGCAGGACAAAACAGTAGCAGAAAGAGCAGCTGCAGCAGGCATACCTTCTATGGTAGTGCGAGCGACTGAAAGCTCTCAACTCACTGGGTTGCTTGCACTGGGAGAAGCCTTTGTTGTTGTTGTTGTTTTGTTTTTTAAACCGACTCAAAAAAGTAAGCCCTCAACTCACAGGGTTGCTTGCGCTGGGAGACGCCATTTCTTCCAGCTGGCTGCCAAGATAGTAGGCGCCAGTGACGTGTAGCAGCAGCACGCCTCTCAATGCGGCCTTCCCTTCGGCCGACAGGGCGTCCAGTCCAGGCTGAGAGGAGATGAGCTGACAGGTTGCTGAAGGAGCAAGCGATACTCACCGGGTAGCTTGCATTGGGAGTTGCCATTTCTTCCAGCTGGCTACGAGGGCCGCTGGGGTGCTATCCGACCATCACCCCAGCGCCTCTCAGAGCAGCACTCCCTCCCCTCGGGTGACAAGGCGTCCAGGTTCAGCGGAGATGACTAACAGGTTGCTAAAGGTGCAAGCGATACTCACGAGGATGCTTGCATTGGGAGTCGCCATTTCCTCTAGCTGCTTCTCCAGACAGTAGGCGCCAGTGACATGCAGAGTGCCTGGCCAAAACCCATTTTTCAACTCACTGCATACGAATCATCTAAGCTCCTTTCACACAACTCACCGGGTTGCTTGCATTGGGAGTTGCCATTTCCTCTAGCTGGCTTTCAAGATAGTAGGTGCCAGTGACGTGCAGCAGCAGCACGCTCTTCAGAGCGGCCCTCCCCTCGGGCGACAGCGCGTCCAGGTTCAGAGAAGCAGAGAGGTTGCTGAAGGTGCGCGTGATGTTGGGGGGGCTGGAGGAGGAAGGGGTGCTGATGCTGCTCGCTGCTGCTAGCAGGGCGGTTGCGGTGACGCTTGGATATCCCACAAATACATCTGGCGGGGAGGATAGGCACACAGGGAGGGAGGAGCGAACGGGGGAGGGGTTGGGTGGGGGAGGGGGGGGGGGGGGGGGGGGGGGGGGGGGGGGGGGGGGGGGGGATTAGCAACAGCACGCCTCTCAGTACGGCGCTCCCCTCAGTGCAGCCCTCCCCTCGGGCGACAGAGCGTCCAGCTTGAGAGGCTCTGAGAGGTTGCTGAAGGTGCGGGTGATGGGGGGGTGGAGGTAGAGGGGGTGCTGAAGGAGGAAGGGGTGGTGATGCTGGTCGCTGCTGCTACGAGGGCGGTTGCGGTGACGCTTGGATATCCCACAAATACATCTGTAGGGGAGGAAAGGAACAGAAGAGGGGGGGGGAGGAGAAGAGGGAGAAGGAGGGGGTTTCGCATCAGCAGCAAGAAAAGACTATCTATACCCACCTATCCAAGTCGCAGTCGGCTGCTTCGCGTTGGCTCGCTCTAGCACGTTAAAGAACTGCTGCCACGCGCAGCTACTCTGCGCGCATTTGCTCTCATCTCCCCATGCCGCTGCTGTGGGGTTTCGTTACCTGGCCACGTCGCCACAGGTTGCTTCGCGTTGGCTTGTTCCAGAAAATCGAAGAACCGCTCGTTAAAACTTGAGCTAACACTTACACTGCCGCCACGCGTAGCTAGTCTGCGACCCGGTTGCTGCCCGTTGAGGGGGGGAAAGGGAGGGGAGGGGAGGTTGTGCCAAAGGGGGGAGGGTGGTTGGGGGGAGGAGGGGGGGGGGGGGTATTACCTGGCCACGTCCCCGCGGGTTGCTTCGCGTTGGCTTGTTCGAGAAAATCGAAGAACTGCTGCCACGCGTAGTTAGTCGGCGCCACCAGCAGCGCGCCGAGCGGCGAGTTCCGCGCGTTAATCACCTCCTGGTCCGCGCCCGTGCCGCGCAGCAGGCTCGCGGTCCACGCTAGCGACGCCGCTGACGCGTTCGCGCCGCCGCCGAGGCCGGCGGAAACGCGAATCAACGCGTTATAGAGAGCCTCGGTAGAGTCTACGGCGGCTGCAGCCGCAGGGTTCGCAGCGGGGGATGCGGCGAGAGAGGGTAACCCAGAAAGGAAAAGCGACGCGAGGAGGAGCGGGAACACTGCGGAGATTAATCCAGAAAAAAATACTCGGCGATTATTTCTACTTGTAGACGTGGTAGGAGCACGGGTCGTCTTGGAGCGTATGGATAGTGCTACTAACAACGCGTCATCTACTACTGGACCCATGGTCAGGACGATGGATACTACTATTAAAGAGGCGATTGGGCTTTTGAGTCGAAACAAACGTCACGACGAACGGCGACGCGCGAGAAGGCAAATGGCAAAAAAAAAGGTCCGCGTTTTTCTGACAAGAAGTACGGTTCAGATGTGGTATCATGCGGCGAGTGGGGATAGGATGATGACGATGATGCGGCCTTTACGAGCTTTACGAGGACTGTCAGAGGCCCGGGAATGCGGCGAGGCGTCTATTTCAGAGGCGTCAAATTTAGTAAATCGATTTACTAACTCCTGAAACCTCCTGACGCGTCTATTTATTTAGACGTCTATTTCCTTGGATTCATTTTCGAAGTGCCTGGAAGAAAGATAGTCAAAAAGGCAACGGGGTCGGGGCTTTGAACGCCTTTCAACAAGAGGCTGCGACGCGGCCACGCGCTCCAGAGATGTCGTTATAACTATTGCTGACGCTGAGAGCTCTGGTTTCGCCGAAGATGCTTCCTCAACGCGAGGCAGGCGACGAGATGTTCACTGAACCGCTACTGAGCCAACTATAAGTGAATCAAATCCTTAGGACGCCCAGTTTACTAACTTATACGAATCGCCTCGTTCCAATCAAGTTCTGGTTTCCTGCTTTGCACTGGCTGAATATCGTTTGTCAGTAGTCACCACCTCCCTCGGTTACTCCGAGTCAATCCCCTAGAAGAAAATGTAATCTAGTCGAGGGGGCAGAGCAACAAGGGGTGTAGTGTCACCACGGGCGTATTCGCTTATGTGCTTTCATAAAAATACCATGCTTGCAACATGTCGTCAGTCTTTACTAAACCGGCAAATCGCACGCACGACCAGTGACACCAGTTTTAGCTTTCGAGGGTCCAATGCAGCTCCCAACCTGCAGTTCTGCACTGTAACTACGCTTTAGAAGAGTTTGCACCGCATCCGCCAAAGCGAGAGGAAACAGCACGGACTGGCACGTGGTCCACGTTCAACGGTTTTGGGAGCAACAGATCCCACGTGGATAAATTACTTAGATCTAAACCGTCCGTCTTTGTGTAGAAACACAAAGCGTTCGGGGATTGGATGATTTTTCTATCGGCCGTAAGATCGAGCCGTCCATCTAAGGCCACTACCCCACAGCCATGCACCCACAGGGCCGCAACTGGGGGCACTGGAAGGATTCGGTTCGGTTCGGTGCCAACTGAAAAATCTGACCCTCAATCCCATGTTGAGGGGATAGCGTAGCGGTACCGCGCGGTGGGGCTTGCCTAATACTCGTTATGGTTTGTTTGGCACGGTTGTAAGGAAGAGGGATAAACTTCCGTATATAGAGCCTCTGTTAGATTACCAGGACTGTAGAAGAAAAAATAGCGCGCCAAACCGTAGAATTTTGTCCTTGCACTCATTGCAAGCTTCACCTGAATCCTCCTAAAAATGGAGATTATAGCTGGCAATTTCGGTTTCAGGGAGAAGGGGAAGTGAGGAGGAAACGGAGAGTGGGGGAGGGTGGGAGGTGGGGCGGGGGGGAGAGGGGGAGGAAGGCTGGAAAAGAAAGGGGTGGGGGATCGCCCTAGCCTCCCAGCCTCTCCTGGGTTTTGGGAGAGCATACAGTACCGTAAACGCCCGGATATAAGACAGTGTTGAATAGTAGACAGGGGTTGTCTACTATACGGGTGTCTCTTATAAACAGGCTAGCCTCATTATAAGACACCTATTTGTGTGTACGAGATAAGACATATATGTCTTATAATCGAAACTTCAATATATTATAGCGAAAGTTGAAATAACGCGTACATTTTTACCCTTGCGAAGCGCGAATTTCTCCACGCGCTGACCCAGGACCTACCAAATTTGCCTCTGCAGGTGTTCTCCATGACGTGGCGTCCCGGGCAGTGGTTGCCGAAGTGGCACCTTCGCAACATCCACACTCATTATGAGGAACTCTTTTTCAAGAAGTACGGAAAATATTTCTAAGTAGTTTAAAAAGTTTCCATTTATAAGATTTATAAGACACCCTAAAGCATCCCGTTTACAAGATAACTCAAGCATTTTTGCCCGTGTACGAGATAAGACATATATGTCTTATATCCGAGCGATGACGGTAGCAAAGATGAAGGAACCGACATAGGGGCCAAAGATGCTGATAACAATAGATGAATGCATTGCATTGCACCCATTATAAGATCACATCCCCATGTAATCAGCCAGCCGAAGCAAATCTGTCAAAGCACCCTGCATCAATTTCCGGGCAAACAGAAAACAAGGAACGCTCTCATCAGCTACTCTACAGCTCCGAGGCCCTCTCATCCTCTCTATAAGCTTCTCCGTCACCTGGCCCGCACCAAACTGCGCAGGATGCGCAGCACCAGGCTTAGACCAATCCGTCCAAGTAACCGTCCTATTGGCCACATTTCCCGGCATAAGCACTTTCAGCATCGACGGCATGTAGTGCTCGTCCGCGTAACACGGTGGCCGGCAGAACCGCTTAAAAAGAGGATAGAAAATATCGTCCGCGACAATAACCCTCGCCGCTTCTCTATCCATGGCAAACCACTGCCCTCCCTTCCTCCAATCTTCCAACCGGACCAGAGGCAGAAACTCCCTCCGCCACCTCCCCTGCCCGTTTGCCCCCGGCTCGTTCTTCAAACGAACGTATGCTTCGGACGAGGCCATGAGGTACTCGTAAACAAATGTGAAGTTAAAGAGGGGAGCGCAGGACTCTGAAACGAGGATGAAGCGTGCATTGCCAGGGTCCAGGAGGGCGTTGGCTAGCAGACGCCTCTCTGCGTCCACCATGCTGATTTCACCCCAGTGCACGTCCTGCAGGGTGAGAGAAACGGGGGTGGGGACGGCGGGGAGTCGGTACGATGGAAAATGAGGGCACAGAAACGAGGATGAAGCGTGCGTTGCCAGGGTCCAAGAGGGCGTTGGGTAGCAAGCGCCGTTCTGCGTCCACCATGCTGATCTCACCCCAGTGCACGTCCTGGGGGTGAGAGGGGCAGTGGAGTGGGGGCAATAGGGTGATGCGGAGTGAGAAAGCGATAAAGGATGGAATCTGTCAGAACAACCAGCGCTGGCTAGCATGCGGCGTTCTGCATCCACCATGCTGATCTCTCCCCAGTGCACATCGTGGGGTGTGAGAGAGAGGGGATGGCATGGGGGCAATGGGGTGATGCGGGGTGAGAAAGTGATGGAGGATAGAAAGTATGTGAGTGAACTACCAGTGGTGGCTAGGAGGCAGCGTTCTGATCTCGCCCCAGTGCACGTCCTGCGATGAGAGAAAGGGGGGATGGGTAAGATGGGGAGACGGTAAGCTGGGGAATAAGAGCGCAGGACTCTGAAACGAGGATGAAGCGTGCATTGTCAGGGTCCAGGAGGGCGTTGGCTAGCTGACGTCTCTCCGCATCCACCATGCTAATCTCGTCCCAGTGCACGTTGTGAGGGTGAGAGGGAGAGGACGGTGGAAGGTGGTTGGCAGGAGTAGAAGGGGACAAAGTGAGGAGCTATGGAGATCTGGAACGAGAGTTGGCTGGCAATCCCGTCGGTGTTTTCTGTGCTGCTCTCGCCTCAGTGCAGGGAATGGGATGGGGGAGAGAGGGGATGGGAGTGGGAAGGGATGTTGGAGCTGGGGAGGAAGGAGGAGAGAGTGACGTGGCAAGGGAGGAAAGAGAGTTTTGAGATGTGTCAAACATAGGAAAAGAAAGAGGGGAAACGGGAAGAGATTGGCATAACATAACATGCGCCTGCTTGTCTAGACTAACTCACTTGACTTGGTATGTGTGCGCCTTCAAACGCGGATTGAAGCTCCCCTGGCTTATATCGAAACTCGCGAGCCGTGTGGATGTAGATTGAGAAGAAACCTTCACGGCCATTGAAGAACCGTTCCCAAAAGGGAGCCAATGGCAAACGGCCACGTGTCATGAACAGAAAGGCCAGTTTCGGGGTTTGTATAGACGCCTCAGTAAGGCCTACTCTCCCTGCCTTATATCGAAGCAAGAAGTCTGGATCTAGCTGATCAGAAACATTAGCCTTAATGGACGGCGAGGATTCCACGGCAGATTTAGTCCGAGCGTCATTACCAGCAGTGTTATCTGTAATCTTATTGGCCGCCTGGACGACAAAATCTACCTTCGAATCTACACCCGAGTTTGAACCAATCGTGGAGTTGACTGAGATAGTTTCAAGATTTCTATCCCCTTCCTTATCCAATGACATCACTCTCTGCCAATAGCCACGCTGGCACGTCCAACCTCCTGTCATAATCCCTAAAAAGAACACGATCGGCAGCACTAGGATGTATATCGGGCCTGCGCGTCTCGAGGATGGCCTTGTAGCGGATTTCGCGGCGCCGGGAGCGGAGGGGACGGGAGAAGCCGCTATAGAGGGGAGAGAGGGAGAGCGACTCACGGTCCTAGGCTCGGCCATCGCTGCCGTATGTGCGCTGTGGGAGTTTAGCGACCTAGAGATTACCGGAATAAGGCACCAGGCCGTTCTGGGATCTGGAAATTATCACGGAAAAAGTTATCATCAACATACTCCATGCCGGCCCAAGGCGCCATGGCTGCTGCTGGTCATTCCCCCATCATGTGACCTACCCCTTTCCATGATACTTGCTTGAAAGATTTCGTACCCGTTAGACGTCCAGCTTGACTGACGAAAAAGGTGGTTGTAATATACAGTTGTGAGAAGGATATTTGCTTATGCATTGTGTGCGTGTTTCACAAAAGAACTCAATCACCAGTACTACATAAAATGTGGAGCCACGTCATTCAATGTCCCTGAAGAAATCAGCCATTGCCGATCCACGCGCCTTGAAATTCCCACGACGGTTGGGAGACCTCCGTCTTTTCCTCCCTGCGACAGGGCAACAAAATTAGGCAGAAAACAAACAAAAAAGGAAAAGGAAAAACAGAGATATGGCTTGTTTATGTGCACGAGTCCCTAACGCAATGGATCAACATTCCACCTTTCTGCATCAGCTTCACAAAACCTGACATAGGTAATATGTGAATGAATATACCACAACCATTACATTCAAAACAAAGCAACTACACTCACCTCCCTTGCCTCCGTCGTCATCACTGCTGTCAGAGTCACTATCTCTGCCACCTCCCTTCTTGTCACTGTCACTATCACTCCCCTTACAGTCACCGCCTCTTCTTCTACCAGCATCCCTCTTCTCCTTCGCCCGCCCTGCACCGTCCGCTCCTTGATTTTCCCTTCCATTTCCCACTCCCGTCTCATTGGCACCAGCAGCAGCAGAGGCTGGCTCATTTGGATCCTTTCCATTTGCCCCTGCATTATCTCCTGCTTCTGCTCCACCTTTCTCATCTTGCTTATCCCCTTCCTCCTTTTCCTCCTCCTCCTCTTCCCCATCCTCTCCCTCATCCACTTCATCCAAAATCCCTGCAATGTCCCACGCCTTCAGGAGGAAGGGAGAGACAGGCGAGAGGAAGGAGAACGGGGGAAGGTGCACTCTCTCCACGGTGGAGAGAGTGTGGGTGCGGGAAACGAAGGAAGGACACAGCGACAGGAAGGACAGGGAAGAGATGGAGTGTCTAGAAAGAGAGAGGAGAGGACGAGATAAAGTTGCCTAGTCAGACAGATTGGGTGCAGAACGGGAGTAGAAAGCAATACCCATTAGCTGTCACCATACTTGATCTCCTAATTCTGGTCGTGCGCTGCGCTCTCAAGCATGTTGTGATAGTGCGAGAGAGTGCACACCCTACCAATCTGCCAACCTCACAACTTACCGGCCTACCAACTCACAACACCGGCAACCCATTAGCACATCACCTTGAGCTTCTGGTCGTGCCCCGCGCTCACAAACAGGCTGTGATCGTGAGAGAGTGCACACCCCATCAGCCTGCACCACCATGCTACAAAACGACTTTGAGGCGCCTCAAAACCCTTCTACAGCCTATCAGCCCACAAGCCTACCTCTCAGAACCCACCCCTCCAGCCCCTCACCTTGAGCTTCTGGTCATGCCCCGCGCTCACAAGCACGTTGTGGTCGTGAGAGAGTGCTGTGGGGGGGAGGAGGGTGTGATCAGAGGAAAGGGTTTGGTGCGGTGCTTACAAGGTGTGGGGAGGAGGGATAAGCACCAAAACTCCTTGTGGATCAAACAAAAATCAGAAGTAAGATTACTTGGAAATTGTCCCGCACACACTCTATTGGCCACAGCCACAGCATGCCCATGTGATGCCACAGCGACAGCATAGCATTTCCACATTGGGTCGTTTTACACATTTCCACATGTGCCATGGCATGGCAGCTCAACAAAATCTCATTTGATTTCAAGGGCGAAACCATGACGGCATGCTATCCCAGCCCCAGCAGCAGCCACTCGCCCAGTGCCGACATAGCAGCACCAGTGTGCGAGCCAACGGCATAAAAAAAGCAGTTGGAAAAGACAGAGTCGACTCTAGTAGCATATGGTTTCATCTTATCTCAGCGGCATCATCAGCAGTAGCTAGCCACTCACCCAGTGCCTCCACAGCAGCATCGGTGTGCGAGCCGACGACATCCAGAAAGCGGTTGGGGAAGACAGAGACGCCTCCAACAATTAAATTCATCATCTATCAGGGGCGAGATTACCATGACGCCATGCTATCCCAGCCCCAGCAACAGCCACTCACCCAGTGCCTCCACAGCAGCATCGGTGTGCGATCCGACAACATCGAGAAAGCGGTTGGGGAAGACAGAGACAACTCGGATGAGCCCATCAGAGCAGGCTGTGAGTAGCGTGTCGTCGTCCAACTGATGGGGAATAAGGGGCAAGAGGCCACCGGGAAAATGTGGGCCGAGGGGGAATAGGGGCATGGGAGCATGTGGGGCAGGAAAGGGGGAGTAGAGGGCGCAATCAGGACGACAGAGACGACTCAGATGAGCCCATCAGAACAAGCTGTGAGCAGCATGTCGCCGTCCAATTGATGGGGGGCGAGGGCATAGGGGCGTGGAAGAGTGTGGGGGAAGAAGGGGGAGTAGAGCGCAAGAGCAGGAAGACAGAGACGACTCGGATGAGCCCGTCACAACAAGCTGTGAGCAGCATGTCGCCGTCCAATTGATGGGGCATGAGAGGATAAGGGCATGGGGAGGGCATGGGGCAGGAGTGCAAGGGGGAACGAGACAGCTTGAATGAGCCTATGGAAGCAGGCTGTAAGCAGCGCCATGAAAAGTAGGGGTCTGGATGGGTGGAGAGGGATTGAAAGGGGAAGGAGGTAGGTACGAGATGGTGGGAGGGGAGGGGGGGATGATGAGATGAGATGGGGAGGTTAGAGTGGACAAACAGCACTCTTACGCATCCTAAGGAGGCAAGGGAAAGAAAAAAGGAAGGCAGCGAGAGGGAAAGGAAGGCAGCGAGAGGGAAAGGAAGGTGCTGAGAGAGGAAAGGAAGGTGCTGAGAGAGGAAAGGAAGTGAGACACTCACGGGCACAATGGCATCCACTGATCCTCCATGCCCTCGAAAACGATCACTGGGGACGATGGTGGGGAAGAGAAAAAGGAAGAGGGAGGAGGGACAAAAGGCATGTTGAACCACTTGCTTGGAAAGCTCAAATCGACACCACACAACTACTATCTGCACTGGCACTGTCCAGGTGACTTTTGAGTCGACTCAAAAGTCACTTGCTTGGAAAGCTCAACTCGACACCACACAACTACTATCTGCACTGGCACTGTCCATTGTCAATTCTGCAACACTTTTGAGGCGCCTCAAAAGCCAACCGCGATTCACTCCAATTCTGCCAAACACTGTTACTGTCAAACTTCAGAACTGACCACAGTGGCACAGCTTAATTTAACATTATCACACTCTTACACAGTCACAATCCCCATGCTGTCACGACACTCCTACCATCACACTCACTTGTCCCGTTCCGCCCCATTCATACTGAAGAAGTAGAGCAGTCCGCTTTGAGAACCACACACGACTTTAGAGTCGCTCTGAAAGGGGGGAGGGGGAATGGTAGGCGGGCAGGGGATCAGGGAGGGGAGAAAACAAAGGTCAAGGAGGGGATAGGTCCGCTTCAAAGAGGAGAAGCCTTACAGAAGACGTGGATGAACCACAAATAGGTGCACGTGTGTGTGGATGCACACACACACACACATACACACGCAGTCACACGTGCAAACATGCATGAATGTTCTAATCTTGTCGTCATTAGTGCTGTGAGCAGCACGGTGCATTGGTGGATGGCAGTGATGTGAGCCGGTGACACACATGTGCACGTATGCAAGCGCACATGCAAGCGCACATGCAAGCGCACATGCAAGCACACATGCAAGCGCACGTGCAGCACACGTCCATGCTTGGATGCTCGTACCTTGACAACTACGATGGATGCAGGTCGTCATCTGTGCTGTCGGTGTGGCTGTGAGCTGCACGGTGCAGTGGCAGTGGCGTGGAAAGGCCTCACATGTTCATGACCCATGCATGCATGCACGCTCACCTTGACTGCTACCATGGCCAGCAGGTCGTCATCTGTGCTGCCGGTGTGTGCTGTGAGCTGCAGGGGTGGGTGGCAGTTATGCGAGCAGGTCACGACACATGCGCACACGTGCACACATGCGCACACGCATGCGCACACATGCGCACACATGCGCACACACGCGCACACATGCATACGTGCATGTTTCATACCTTGACAGCTACAATTGAGAGCAGGTCGTCACCTGTGCTGTCCGTGTGTGCTGTGATCTGCACGGTGCGTTGGTGGAGGGCAGTGGTGTGCGCAGGTCACACGAGTTCACGCATGGACCCATGCTTGGCTGCTCGTACCTTGACTGCGACAATGGACATCAGGTCGTCATCTGTGCTGTCCGTGTGTGCTGTGATCTGCACATGCGTTGGTGGAGGGAGGGAGGTAAGTAGGGACCATTCGAGGACCATTCGATGTAAGTAGGGACCGATGGAGTGAAGGGTTGATTGTATGAGGATACGTGCAACACAGAACATTCCTAACACCGACTGAACACATGCGTCCAGTCCAGAGACGTGTCGGCCCACTATGTGGGGCGACCCTTGAAATGATACGCCCAACTCAATTTCAGCAACACCGATTCTAGAGATGACCCACAACACGGATTTCAGAGATGACTCACTCTGTTGGTTGCGAGGTCAACAACAGCCATGGAGCCATCGCCATTGGAGGAGACTATTGCAGGAGGCGAGAGGTTGAGCCTCGAATCACAATCATAACACATTCCCAACACCGATTTAAAAACCCTTGTATAGAGACGACTCACTCTGTTGGTTGCGAGGTCCACAACAGCCATGGAGCCATCGCCACTGGAGGCAAGCAGACGGTTGCAGGAGGGGAGGGGCTGACCTTTGATGATACACCCAACACAAATTTAGCACACTAACAACACGGATTTCAGAGACGACTCACTCTGTTGGTTGCGAGGTCCACAACAGCCATGGAGCCATCGCCACTGGCGGCGAGCAGATGGCTGCTGGAGGGGAGGGTCTGACCTTGAATGATACACCCAACACAAATTTAGCACACTAACCACACGGATTTCAGAGACGACTCACTCTGTTGGTTGCGAGGTCCACAACAGCCATGGAGCCATCGCCACTGGCGGCGAGCAGACGGTTGCAGGAGGGGAGGGGGCGGATGTCAGTGATATAGTCCGATGCCACTTGTATTGTTGCTGTGCTGCCCACTGCACTGCCATCCTGCCTCAAGTCCCATAACTGGAGGAAGAAGAGCAAATAAACGAGTACACAGGTAGACAAAGGACAGGAAGGGAGAGGGCGGATGTCAGTGATATAGTCCGATGCCAGCTGTACGGCTGCTGTGCTGCCCACTGCCCTGCCGTCCTGCCTGAGATCCCAGAGCTGGAGAATGAGCAGAGAATAAAGCACACAGGAAGGGACGAGCCACAGAGAGACACAAGGAGGACGGGAGGGGGCGGATGTCAGTGATGTAGTCCGATGCCACCTGCACGGCTGCTGTGCTGCCCACTGCCCCGCCGTCCTGCCTGAGATCCCACAGCTGGAAAAGAACGCATACAAGCACATAATCAAGCACAGAGGCACATGCAGGACAAAAGGGGTGGGATGTCTGTGATATAATCTGATGCCACCTGCTTGGCTGCTGTGCTGCCCACTGCCCCGCCCGCCGTCCTGCCTCAGATCCCATAGCTGCAAAAGGAGTCATTGAAGCAAGCACGCACAACCGCACACAGGTGACAGGAGGAGATGGGTGGGATATCAGTGAGTGATACAGTCCGACGCCACTTGCACAGCTGCTGTGCTGCCCACGCTGCACTGCTCTCCTGCCTGAGATCCCACAACTGCAAAAGGAGTAGTTGAAGCAAGCACACACAACCGCACACGGAGATGGGTGGGATGTCAGTGAGTGATATAGTCCGATGCCACCTGCGCTGCTGCTGTGCTGCCCAGTGCACCGCCAGTCTGCCTCAAGTCCCACAGCTGTGAAAGAGCACATACAAGCAAGCACAGAGGTAGACAGAGGAGGGGAGGGGTGGGATGTCAGTGAAAGGTAGTGAGATGAGATCCACAGCTGCAGGCATGAAACGAAGGGCATGCACAGCATGGTTGGCATTGACCCACCTTGACCGGCATTGACACTCCTGGACCAGGGTTGACCCACCTCGACCAGCGTTGACCCAACTATACTCACATTGACCATTCTTGACTCACCTTGACCGACCTTGACTCACCTTGACCGACCTTGACTCACCTTGACCGACCTTGACTCACCTTAACTCACTTTGACCCACCTTGACTGTGCCGGAATCATCACCGGAAGCCACACAGGAGTCACCCCAACATGACAACCGGTTGATGCCCTCACTGCACACAGAGAGAGCAGCGGAGCAGTGGGCACAGAGAGAGGTGCAAACAGACGTGCTTCTCAGCTAAATTTCAAACAGGCAACCTCTCGCTGCAAACTATCCAATTGTGATTCCTGAATGAAGTTCAAACAGGCCTCAGATCCATGTAAATAGTAACCATCCCAGACAGATGACGAACTCCCTGCTGAGACTCTGTGAACCCTCCTTTATGGGCCCATAACCTTGCTCACTCGCTCCCCCGTCTCCACGTCTTAAACTTGTGACTTGCTTCTGCTGCTGCTGCTGCTGCTGCCGCTGCAACACGAATGAGCGCCCGTGACCCCCCATAAACCCACCTGTGTGTGCCCATGACCTTGCTCACTCGCTCCCCCGTCTCCACGTCCCGAACCACAATAGACTTGTCTGCTGCCATGCCACCCCGTGTGTGTGATGTGAGCCCGCCCATGCCCTTCCTGAATCCACGCGTGTGCGCCCTTCCATTCCCCCTAAACCCACCTGTGTGCGCCCATGCCCCCACAAACCCACCTGTGAGCGACCATGACCCCCCATAAATCCACCTGTGTGCGCCCATGACCTTGCTCACTCGCTCCCCTGTCTCCACGTCCCGAAACCACAATGGACTTGTCTGCTGCCACCCCGTGTGTGTGATGTGAGCCCGCCCATGCCCTTCCTGAATCCACGCGTGTGCGCCCTTCCATGCCCCCCCTGCACTTACCTGTGCGCGCCCATGACCTTGCTCACTCGCTCCCCCGTCTCCACGTCCCGCACCACAACGGACTTGTCTGCTGCTGCTGACACCACAACTGGGGGAGGGAGAAGGTGTGAGAAGATGATAAGGGAGGGTGTGTGGAGATAATAAGGGTGGGAGAGGGTACTAGGGAGGGAGGGTGGATGGGGTGGATGGATGGGACGTCAAGAAAAGAGGGCAGATGTCACAAGGGTTTTTCTCAACAAAGATATTTCTAGGTCCCAAAAGAAAAAGCAGAGAGTGTCAGGCGCTAAAAAGTAGCTCCTCCATTCCACAAGAATCAGGAGTAACAGACATCATAAGCATAATGACCTTCCCGGCATCCCTTCTGATATACAGCAGCAACCAGCTAACTACACACTCCCAGCAGCACCACTCACAGCGGCCATTGGCAGCAAAACGTGCAGCTCGGCAGGAGTCAGTGTGGCCCCTCTTCTTCCACTTGCTGCCCATGGGTACAGAGGGATGCGGTGCACAGAAGTGAGGTGCAAATGGGTGTGGTGCGAGGGGGTGCGGTGCAAAAGGGTGCGGTGCAAAGAAGTGCGGTGCAGAGGAGTGCCGGGGCAAAACGGTGAGGTGGAAATGGCTACGTTGCTACTCATTCTTGTGCATGTGCTTGCCATTGCAATGCCTACGCACCCTGACATGCCATGGTGCCTGAACTGAACACCACTGAATCTGCCTGTAGCATTAAGAGTGGTGGGTGTATGTGTATCATTCAGTGATGACACACAGTTACCACTGGAATACATTTACCTCTCGAATTGCAGCGTGGTGGGATCGACATTGAGTCTGTGATAGGGGGATGGTCAGCAGACCATTCGAGAGGATAGGGAGTTGGGTGGCAGGGGGGAAGGGAGGATAGACAGGCGGAGAGGCAGTGGAAGGAATGAGAATGTAAGGAGAGGTGGAGTGCGGTGCCATGCGAGTTTTGAGGCATTTCAACAGGCGGGATTGACATTGAGTCTGTGATAGGGCGTGGGTTGGAAGGACATTCGAGCGGACATGGAGTTGGGTGACAACAGGGAAGGGAGGATGAGCATGTGAGGAGGGGTGGAGTGCGGTGCCATGCGATAAGACGTTTCAGAATCTCGTGCGTGAAAGGAATGCGCTCACAGTGGAAGTGACTTACACCGCAACTGCCCACACGTCTACCCACACGGATGCCCCATGTCCAGCCACTCGTGCATTCTGTGCCATGCCCTAAACCCGAAACCTTAAATCCAGCATTTAAACCCAAGGCATGTCCTGGCCTTGACACGGTATGCATACTCACGAAAGCACCCGATTCGGACAGTGACGTATGAATCTAAACTGGACGCCTCCGATCCGGACAGTGACGCCACAAAACCTGCATTTTCCGCGCCAATCCTGCACGTCAGATATCCGATCTCGCATTCCGTCGTTACCGCTTACAGCTGCACGACACCGGAGATGAAGGAGACGCTGAGCAGGTGAGCCGTCGGATGGAAGTCCACATCGAACGGCTGAAACGACACCTTGAGCGCGTTCGAGGCTCGGCGCGCAGCGGCACCTTCTCGTGCCATTGCCCGCGAGGAGGATAACCAGAGGAGGCGGGCCTCTCGGGCTATGAGATGAGGCCGAATAAAGCGTACGGGGAAGAAAAAGGCTCACGGAAATGTAGGGAGGACGAGGACTAATATGTGGACGAAAACGCACGGGGAGCAGTGACGGACTGGTCTCTGACACTACGGTTCTGTGTAATCAGTGCTTCGTGACGCACTGAAGCGGGACACGTCTGCTACCTGCTGCTCTATGTGGGTCTAAAATAAGCCACGCGCGCTTAGAAGCTAGTGTTTCCCCACACGCAATGCCCCGCGGTTTCGAGTGAGTTTGGTCTGGCCTTTGACTTTGTCGATAGAACAGTTTTGAGACTCGGCACATGAGAGCTATTGCTTCCAAACGCTTCGTTGCGGGAATTTCAATCCATACGCTGTACAGTAATCTTATTCACCAGCATTCATTTTCAGCACAAACGTGCTAAACCCTCCTGAAACGGATCAGTTGTTACCAAGGGACGTCAGAAACTGACAGCTTTCCCGCCAAAACCACATGTTCCTGCCCCCCCCCCACCCCCACCCCCCCCCCCCTGTGGTGCGTTCAATACACGAGCCCGCCTGAGACTCGAGATTTGAGAACGCAATTTAGTTTCTCAACAGCGAATTTCCGTATGTGACGGAAACGAAAATAAGCTTTTTTCTTACACGTTTTCGAAGCACTGGTCTTCCTCTTGATTAGACTATAATCTAGGCGCCCTTGTCGACCTAGTAGAGCCTTGGCGGGTGTATTGGAAACGTCGCCCAGCGTGGCACCGCCAGTTTCGTCGTCGTCGCGACTCGCGAGTATTGTGTGAAGGCTAGCTATTTCCGTGCTGTCGCTGAAGCATTCTGAGACTCGGCCCATAGCGTACGAGGTTCTTATCATCAAAAGGTTGCGTTTTTTTTGTTGGTCAAGAAATTGTTCTCCACCGAGCTATCCCTGTCAGATCGCACTCTGCTCGTCGAGAGAGGAGAACAGCAGTTTGCCACTTAGAGTTTCTATATGCTGTACTCTCCGTAACAGGCCCCGACGCCATGTCCGTTTGAACAGTCGCAAACAGTCCTTTAGTCGCAACCCAGTATCGCGATCAGGCGCAAATCTGTAGGCTCGATCGATGGAGGTAACTCTTAGACCCGTGACGCTGAGATTAAACAGTAATCCGCTCGTCCTGCATACCTCCTCTGGGACCAATCATCATCTCAAACGCAGACCCTCTTGTGTCCCTGCGGTGAAGTGTTGGCTAGGTAATCAGAGGCGACCAATCAAACGTGGGAAACCAGCCAGATTAGTTCATAATGTTTGGAAATTAAGGGGAAATAGTGGCGATGACGAAATTAATGGAGGCAATGGGTTCCGGGAATTACGGAGGGATGTGTCGGTGGCTGCGGGGGGGAACCAGTGGTTTCCGGGAGGGCGTCGGGAGCAGCAGCGGTGGCAGGAACGGCAGCAGCTGCTTCTGCAGCAACAACAGCTGCTACAACAGCGAAGGCAACAACAGCAACAGCAACAGTCGTCACAGCAACAGCAACAGCAACATTTGTTACAACAGCAGGAGCAGCAACAAAGCTGGCAGCAGCAGCAGCAGCAAGAGCAGGCCGCGCAACAACAGAGCGAGTGGCAGCAAGAGCAGCAAGGAAGGGAAATAAGGAATTGGTCAGAGGAGAGAGGAAGAACTATGGGAGGGCAGAGAGAAATTGATACGGCAGGGAGGGGTGTGGAGGAGGGGAGAGGGAGGATTGTGGATGAGGAGGAAGGGGAGAGTGGGGTGAGAGGGAGGAGCAATTGGTTGGAGGAGACGGGGAAGAGCCGGGGACAGATGGAGGCGAGAGGCGTGACGTGTCTGTACGTGAAGCGCAGTATCCGGCAGTTTGAGGAGATCAGCTACGATGGCACCGTCATTGTGCGTGTGGAGGGGGGTGGTGTGTGCTTGTAGTGGCGTGACGTGCCTGTACGTCAAGCGGAGCATACGGCAGTTCGAAGAAATCACCTACGATGGCACCGTCATTGTGTGTTTAGTGGGGTGATTGCGGTGATGTGTGCTTGTAGAGGGGTGATGTGTGCTTGTAAAAGGGCGTGTAGAGGGGTGATGTGTGCGTGTAGATGGGTGTTGTGTTCTTGTAAAGGGCGCGAGTGTGATTAAGAGGCTGCATTGAGTGATGATCCTTCGCTCCCCTCCCACTTTCAAATCCCATCTTCCTTTCCCCATCCCTCTCGTTTTCCCCGTCCTTCTCGTTTCCCCCACCCCCTCCTTTTCCCCACCCCCCTCCTTTCCCCACCCCCTTCCTTTCCCCACCCCCTCCTTTCCCCACCCCCCTCCTTTCCCCACCCCCCTCCTTTCCCCACCCCCTTCCTTTCCCCACCCCCCTCCTTTCCCCAACCCCCTCCCTTTCCCCACCCCCCTCCTTTCCCCACCCCCCTCCTTTCCCCACCCCCCTCCTTTCCCCACCCCCTTCCTTTCCCCACCCCCCTCCTTTCCCCAACCCCCTCCCTTTCCCCACCCCCCTCCTTTCCCCAACCCCCTCCCTTTCCCCACCCCTCCGTTTCCCAGCTGTATGGAGACGTGAGCCCTGGGGCAGTGGTGTCGGCAGCAGGGAGGGGGACGCTCGTGCAAGGAGTAATAATCGCTCTGTTCCGCTTCCCCGCTCCTCTCCCATCCCCCTCCCTTTTCCCAACCCTCTCCCAGGTGTATGGGGATGTGAGTCCAGGGGCAGTGGTGCGAGCAGCAGGGGACGTGATAGCTCTAGGCCGGCTGGCAGGCAAGGTGCATGCGGGGAGCAATGATTCTTCTCCCCCTCCCTTCTGCGAATCCCCCACCGTGTCCCCCACCCCACTCCCAGGTGTATGGGGATGTGAGTCCAGGGGCAGTGGTGCGGGCACCAGGGGACGTCATAGTTCTCGGGCGGCTGGCAGGCAAGGTGCATGCGGGGAGCAATGACTCTTCTCCCCCTCCCTTCTGCGCATCCCCCTCCGTGTCCCCCACCCCACTCCCAGGTGTATGGGGATGTGAGTCCAGGGGCAGTGGTGCGGGCACCAGGGGACGTCATAGCTCTAGGCCGGCTGGCAGGCAAGGTTCATGCAATCAGCAATGATCTTCCTGCGCTCCACCCCTTCCCCCATCCCTCTAACCCCACTCGCAGGTGTATGGGGATGTGAGTCCAGGGGCAGTGGTGCGAGCAGCAGGGGACGTGATCGTTCTAGGGCGGCTGGCAGGCAAGGTGCACGCAGGGAGCGGTGGGAACCGGCGCAGTGTGGTGGTGGCGCTATGCATGGAGCCCAGTGTGGTGGCCATTGCGACTGAGGTGGTGTCTGGCGCTCAGGGGAAGGCCGCAGGCCACCCTGAGGTGGCATCTATTGACTCGACCGGGCATATATGGTATGTGGCTCCGGTGAACAGCGGTGGGCAGCGGTGGCAGCAGCAGGGCAAAGGCGGGCACAGCATGGTGTTGGCGACCCCTAGTTCAGTGGGCAGTGGTGGGCAATGGTGGTCAGTGGTGGTCAGTTGTGGGCAGGGGCAGGAGCAACGGGGCCACAGGCAGGTGCAGGTGAACGGGAAGGGGAGGGCGGATCCGGGGATGACACTTCTGGACAGCATCCATGTCCCTAACCCTCCTCCCCTACCCCTCCGTCCTCCCCTTCCTTTATTCCCCTTCACTTCCCTCATCTCCTTCCGTTCCCTCCTCTCCTTCCTTCCCCTCCTCCCCTTCCTTTTCCTCCTCCCCTTCCTTTCCCTCCTCTCCATCTGCTCTCTCCTCCCCGTCCACTTCCTCCTCCCCATGCTCGCAGCATAGAGCCTGCCGGCACCAGGCAGGTACAGGTGAACGGAAAGGGCAGGGCGGATCCGGTGATGGCACACCTGGCCAGCACTCACATCCCTTCCCTCCTCTACTTCCCCTTCCACTTCCTCCATTCTCTCCCATTCCACTCCCTCAGCATAGAGATTGCCGGCCCCGCCCCAGCAGGCAGGTGCAGATGAACGGCAATGGGAGGGCGGATCCGGTGATGGCACACCTAGCCAGCGCTCAGTGCCCCCTCCTTTCTTCTACTCCACGCTGCTCTCACCCCCTCTTCCCTCCGCTCCTTCTCAGCATGGAGCCTGCCGGCCCCAACAAGCAGGTGCAGGTGAACGGGAAGGGCAGGGCGGATCCAGTGATGGCACACCTGGCCAGCACGCACCTGATGGACGTCTCATGGAATGTGGAGCCTCCACCAGCCGCCGCTGCTGCAGAGGGGAAGAAGCTCTCTCGGACGGCCGTGGCCTCGCTGGTCACAGGGGCGTACATCTGTGTGGCTGGCGCCATGGCTCTGGCGTTTCCTGCCTTCACGTTTGGTATGTTGAATTTTTTAGATGCCTCAAACTCTTGGACAGCTGTGGCCTCGCTGGTCACGGGGGTATACAGCTGTGTGGCTGGCGCCATGGCTCTCGTGCTTCCCGCCTTCACGTTTGGTATGTTGAAGTTTCCTGTGGTGGTGGTTCTTCCTTGTTGTTGTGTTTCTGGTTTTTATTTCTTCTGTGTGTTCTGTTCCGTACTTGATTTTCTGAGTGTTATGGGGTTGTTTTGACTCGTGCCCGTTGTGGGCTCATTGCTACATTTGTCTGTTGATTGTATTTGTTTATTTCCTGCTCTCTTTATGGATTCCAGGTTTATTGTTTGGCCGTGATGTCTTGACGCCTGGATGGATTCGTGTTCTGGGGACTCTTGCCGTGGTGGGTCATTAATTTATGCACTTCTCTGCTGCCAGTTTTCCACTTGTTTGTTCTCTCTGCCGGTTGCTTACAGAGGTTGCTGTAATTGAGTATACCCGTTTTAATGTGGTCAGGTGTTTGGCATCTATTACATTGGTGCTGCCAGGGGGGAAAGAAATGGTTTAGGGGTTCGAGGCTTCTACGAAGCAACTGTCGTTGGCCGAATTGTGAGTGACACTATGTGCTTGCAATTCACTATGTATTTTCTGGCTTTGCCTTCACGAGATTTTGCCACCAGGTCCATTGTTGTGCTAAGATTTATTATTGTGACTCCTGCAGTTCCTTTTCTTCAGCCTCTGTGCTCTCGTGGCATCTGGCGCAGTTCCAGCCATGGTTTTGCTTGTAAGTTTCAAGTTTCGTTTGTGACAGAGAGCGGCCTGTCTTGACAAATGTGAAAGTTCCGTTCATGGCTGCCTATAGACAGCACACGTGTGGTGCTGATATGGTGTATTTTTTCTCGTGTGCAGCTCGGCGTTGTAAATCTGCTTGGAGCAGTATCGATGGCCTTCTGTTTACAGCAGTGAGGAGTGGCAACCAGAATGCCCCCACAAGTGTTTGTTGTTCATAGCCTCAGCTTCCATTTCTGGTCTTGTGAATTTGAATTTAGATTTTTACCTTGATACAAGCCTTCAAGAGAAATGCTTTGTGTATGGAATGGTTCATAAGGCAAGATGTTGCTCCCTTCGAACGATACAAGGTCTCAATTATGAAGGAGTTGTGTGCACAATGTGCTTATTGTTGATAACACCCAGCTTCGAATCCTGCACCTGTAGATAGTGCTTATTGCCATGACATTTCACTCCATGTCATCTCCCTTCTGCAACCATCATCATTCTTCTTGGTTCACTCCATGCCAACTCCCTTCAGCAACCAAACCTCCTCCATTTGCCACCTTCATGGTGCTTCTTTGCTTGGATCAAAGAAGTGAAAGATGATGGCACCTTTGCCACCACCCAGCTTCAGCTTACAGCCATGTTCCAGGACTGCATAACGCTGTAGTGGCCTACCATCAACACTAGCCATAGCATTTCCATATACCAAAATGCTGACTCGAGTGGTTGTCTTGTGACCACTGGCATTCTGTCGACCAGGTATGTGGAGGACCTCACAGTGATCTTCCAAGAGGCTGGGAACATGAATATCAGCTCCGTTGCCAGACCCAATCTTAGTTACCCCTGGCTGTAGCACATGCTTAACACCTGCTCACGTTGAGGAGAAAAGGTGAGGACAGAAGATCAAAGGAAACCACAGAAGAATGTACCAAGCACTAGCTTACCTGTGATAATCTCCAAGTTGGTATCATCATCTGATAGCGACAGCGGGATGAAGAATGGATATGACGACTGAGTGGACTCAGGATTGGACGACTTGGTGGAGCTGGAAATCATGCGTGGCTTCTTAAGGACATCTGTCAGCTTCTTAATCAGCGAGTCTGTCTGAGTATCCAGCGCGGTCAAGGATTTTGGTGCATTGCTAGCAACAGTTACGCTGCCAGCAGGGCACTCTCCAAAGATGAAAGGCTTCATGTTCTCCATTTCGCCTCTGGTTTTGACTTGCTGAAGTTGAGCGGAAGTTTTACCTCCATGGACGAGCATTGGGCTTGAAGAAACTTCACTTGCGGCACTCTTTTGCACCACCTGAGAGGTCATGCCAAGTGACAGCACCCTCTCAATCGCACTAGATCTTCTCTTTGGGGCAGGTTCAGACTGGCTGTCCGGAATTGCTAACACATGCGGCTTCGGAAAAGGATTTGGGAAGAGCGGTGTGAACGGGAGTGCAAGTGATGCCGAGGACGGCTCTCGAAAAGCAAAGCTGTCACGCTTCTGAGGAAGCTTGATGGCTAGACATAAATCCGTCTCATTTGGAGACTCTGGCACCTGCAAAATTCTTTTGTTGTAAGAAACAAACAAAGACCATTTGGAATGACAAAACTGTCCATCTCATTTTACCTGAACTCCCACGCTACGGAGCCGAACAGAAGGATGAAAAGAGGCCCGCAATGCCAAAGACTCCACCATTTTGCGGAGAGTTTTCACTTCGGACATTAGGCAGCGGATAGTCAAGTCCTTTGGGTCTTCATTAATAGTTGGCTTGTTCTGAATACGCTTAGCACGATTCGCATAGCGCAAAGTGCTTAGTGTCTCTCTCAAATCCTGCAATTCATATCTGAGTCAATGGCTGTTCAATCGACAAAGCAATGCTGGCAAACTATTGCCACCAAACACATACCTCGAAGGCAGGTGAGATGTTGGCTATCATCACTGTCTTGCTGTTTCCTCCAAGGCTTTCCTTAAGCAGCCAGGTCAGAACGGAATTCCGATACGGCACAAAATCACTTCCTTGAGACAGTTGTGTTATAACCTGCAGACAGGAAGAATAGAATTCACGCACAGCATTCTAACATAAGAATAGTATCATACAAACAGAAAGAATAATATATGATACTTACATTGTTCAAGAGCGACAGGGACCTGTTGATGTAGCCTGACTCCTTAAGCCTCTGCCCGCTCGCATGTGTGCGAGCTTGTCGCTCACTTCCTGGAATCTTATTGTCAAAGGTGAACTTGCAACCCTACACTGCAGGTTATGCCGAGATGGTCTTACCAGCAAGATCAACCATGTTAAGTTGGCTCGTCCTTTGGCTGTCCAAGCCGTCCTGCCCCTTCACCTTCTGAAATGGAACAACATCAGAGACAATTCGTGACAGAGATTTCAAACTGCAGCCTATTCAAACAGACCTGGGTGATTGTCATGGTGAAAACAGTGTGGCTTCGACTTGACTTCTGATTCATTTCAGTAGCTCCGAAGGTCCTGTTCGAATGTCCTTCTGCCAGAGCATCCTTCATCTCCTCCCACGACGTCACAAAGCGTCGTGTCAAGCCAACCACATAAGGACCTAGTTTGGGATGTTCTCGGATCTTGAGCTTCTCTTGTGCACCATTTGGTGAGGAGAGGGGTGAAATGGATGGAGATCGAGGCGACCTTGGCGAGCGAGGGGATGCTGGGGTCCTGGGAGATGCTGGTGATGCTGGAGCATGCTCTGTTGAATGCTTAGCCTTTTTTGGCGAATGTCTCGGCGAAGAGTTTTGATCCTTGAGATTCTGAGCTTGTGAGTGAAAATCAGACACAGCACCCTCCTTACCAGCATGTTCCTCTGCTGGCAGCTGCTGTTCACTGTGAGTTAAAGAGGCGGCAAATGCTTCACTTGCACTGGTCCCAGCATGTGCAGGGTGCTTGCTGGTCAGAAGGTCCCTTATCTTTTCTTGATATATCTCCAGAAAGCTCACCTGGAAACAAAGAAGATGTCGGTAGGCAATTGCAGCCATGCAGAAACGAGTGTTACCTCCCACCTACTTGTACGTGACATTCTGGGTCGCCGTGATACAGGTATGACATTCTTTGCAGAAGCGCAGATGCAATCCGTGGAACCTGCAAATCACAATAGTGGTCATTACGTGCATTGAAGACATAGCGAATACAAGTGCTAATACTACCATTCCTTTCCCTGCTGATGTCCCGTCTCCCATCATCGTGTAAGTCTTCCCTGACCCTGTCTGACCATAAGCGAATACCTGGAATAGCATGACCACATTACAGCTCTGAACTGCTACGTGACAGTCGCCTGAAATAGCAGTGTACCCTTACAGTGGCATTGTAGCCTTCGAGTGCAGCTTTGAGACATGGAGATCCCAGGACTTCGAAAAGCCGTGATTGCAAGTTGTCAGCCATAGCCGGATCCGTTGGTGGCGTAAGATTGTCATCTTGAACAAAGTGAAGCGTGAACTCGTGGTTTGCGGAACGAGGACTCTCTACATCTCTCTTTCCTCGTCCATTTGGGCTTTCCGTAGGGATCATGTCCTCGCATACCAACACTCTGTTCCCAAAAACAGCGATTGCCTGCATAATACGACGAAGACAGTTAGCTTGGGGTCGCATCAAGTTCATAATATCTACTCATGACTTGCCTTCCTTCCGTGTGACAATGTCTCTTCTGAAGAAAGCGGCCGGATCCTCAGTGCAACGGTGACCTGAAACATAAAGCATACTACGTCTCAGACCTCTAAATCATATATTCACAATTTCTCGGAAAAACCTACGCGTTCGTTTCCAGGGAGTGCAACTGCGTCGTCGGCCTTAGTGGACTTCGGGCTGATGGTCGGAGAATCCATTTTAAACTCGTCTTTGGTGCTCTCTTCCTCCACCCTATAGAACAGAGTGAGTTAGCGTTGTAACAGTGGTTACTAAGCATCCAAAAACCAGTCGCACCTCGTCGTCGCCTCCTTTGGCGGCATGTCTCGGTCGTTCACGTTAATGTTTGACATGTTCACGTTACGGCGCTCACGTAGGGGTCGAGGGGTATCCTTGTGAACATATGTCGCATTCTCCACCTGCTTATTGCCATTCCTGTCCTTTGGAGAAGCTAATCCATTTTTCGAAGGACTACGCCGTTCAGGCGTCATCATGTCAGAGCAATGGCGACGGCATGTGCTTGGTGTGGGATGATGGTGGTGCTTGCCAAATTTGATTACTAGTCATGGGCACTAGGGAAGAAATTGAGCAGACGGACACACTTTGTACCCAGTACAGTACTTCAAAGTTGGGGATATCTCGCGCCGATAATGAAACATAAATCCGATGTGCTGTACATAAACTCAATGGTTTTTAGTTAATTCTGTTCACAATTAAAATACCAAACCAGCATATCAATCTAATCAGTTTTCCTCTTCCCAAAAGGCCAAAACCAGCTCAACACTGCACACACATACTGCCAAATTGCACCCAACCACTGCATCCTCGTGTTTGCAACAGGTGCTGCTGGTTGTGGCTTAAAAATCCCCTTAAACATCTCTTTCTGCTTTTCCATTGCCTCTCGCTCTGCTTTTTTCAAAGCCGCCAGCTCACGCGCAATAGCAGCATCACCAGGGGCCCGTTTGGCAGCAGCTTTGATATCGGCCATCGATGCATCAAGCTGTCCAAGTGCATGGCGTGCCTTGCCTCGGCGAAAGAGGGCCTTGGGGTTGTTTGGCTCTTCCGAAAGCACCTAGAGGGTGCCATGCCAAGCAGACGGATTTCACGTCATAAGAGATATGGGTGAAAAAGATGGTGGTAGCATCAACTCTTTCTAAACAGCGAAGACATTTTAGAAAAAGAGTCAAGCCCACAAACCCAGGACATCATGCCAAATAACTCAAGAACAAACACCTCTTTAGTGCCAATGTTGCATTCACGCATGAAGGCAATGTCAAGAGAAGGACACAAAAGCATGCACTTACCACAGAGGAACATAAGGGTGTGCAATTGCTACAGAGGAAGGTAAGCGAGTGAATTAACCAGAAAGACTTCAGGGCATGAGAGTGTCCTAAGGGCATAAAAGCGTTCACTCCGCTAGAGAAGCATCAGACGTGTACGTACCAATGTACACAGACCGATGGTCTCATTGTAATTGTTCAGCTTAAGGTGAGCAGCAGCAGAGTTGAGCAGAGTTGGCAGGCGGACAGCATTGGCCATGTCCCTGTACTTGCCAAACATCTGCATCATGAACTCATCTCCCATGTACCCCAAAGCCTTGTGCACGTAATATTACATGGGGAAAAGCAGGAGACATAGGCATGAAATGAAGTGTCGAGAGTGAGAATGAGCTACAGACAGGCAGCAAGATGCTGGTTGCCAGTCCAACGCACATGCCTAAAACCTCACAATATCGCTCCACATCACACACCACCCATGATCATTCACCACAAATGCACTCGCATCCAACTCAATACTCACTCGCACTTACAGCCCTGCCATACCATCTCATATTCTCGCAGTGCCTCCTCCATGTTGTCCCCTCTGAGAGCTTTTTAAGTCGACTCAAAAGACACACCTGCACTTGTAACCCTTCCATACCATCTCATATTCTCGCAGTGCCTCATCCATGTTGTCCCCTCTGAACGCCTCGTTGCCAGCCTGCCTGTGCCTGTCAGCCGCCTCTATCCTCTCGTCCGCTGTCATCTGCGAGCGATCTCGCGCCCTATCTGCACCACCCTGCACACCATTACACACACACACACGTGCATGCACATGTACATCATTCACGCTCGATGTGAGTCAACATCGATGCACAGTTTAAGTGACCAAACCGAGAGCATATGCTTCTTGTAACGACGCAACTACACTGATGACATGATTCTTCTAAACACTCGTACGGGATTGCAAACAAAGCATTGGCACACCCCTTTGACTTACCGGCGGCTTTTCAAAGCCCACGAGCTTTGCTTCATACAGGAGGTCCGAGTTGGGGGGCACGTGGGGGAAGGAGAAGCAGCCTTGGCTGCCGTACGCCAGCGCTGACGGCACTCGCAGCACACACCTCTCGCCAGGATGCATCGACCGCACTCCCAATGACAGCCCACGCAGCTCTGGCTTCTCTGGAAAGTCAGGAGAAAACAAGGGATGATACAGAAAATGTTTTGTACCCAGGAGAAGGGCTGAACTGTTGGAAACCAGCACAACGAGGCAGGAAACAAGATACAACTTACAACAGAGTGGTATGAGAATAGAGCGTGCTGTGCATGCAGCATTAGCTTGGCCAATCAGTTTCTCGCCTAGTCTTAAAGCCAATTTGTGTCTGCTCCTCCACGTGCGCCTTACCATGTCCCAGAATCAGCTCTGTCATCTGGCCCTCATCCCACGTGTCGTACACTTTTACATGCTTCCGCTTCTCCTTCTGCTTCTCCTGCTCTTTCCCCTCCCCATGTTTTTCCTCCCGCTCCTCGCCCGCATCCCCATCGCCTTTTTCCTCGTTGGCTTCGGAATTTGCCAGCCATGCACGGTAGTGCACTGCGGAATGACAAGGACAAAGGGCGTTAACAAAAAGCTTATAGGGGGGGGGGGGGCAACTCTGGAGTAGAGGATGAGGGGAAAGGCCGCTGATACAAGTAAGACAGTCAAATAGAGAGGTTGATTCGATGTCCATTCCGTTGTTTGAGGACAGAAGAACGGGTTCGAGACTGAGGCACGCGACAACGATTGGACAGAATCAAGAATGTTAGGGATTAACAACGGAAACGGAATGTGACGGGTTGAGACGGAAAAGACTGAAGTCTAGTCTCACCGAAGACTGTGCAGCCTACGTCAGGCGACCCCTTCTCCTTGTTCCCTTCCTTTACCACCACCTTCCGCACGCCTTCCCCAACATCCTCCCCGTCGTCCCTCCCCACCACAACAGGCGGCTGCTCCTCCCCTACCCCCGCTTCTTCGCCTGTTCCGCCTTCGCCGCTCCTGCCAGCAGCAGCAGCAGCAGCAGCCGCGAGCGAAGGACCAGACGAAAACGCGGATGCAACTAACTCAGGTTCAGTCGTGGCTGTTTCAGGCTCGTGTAGAGGTTCGATTTGGTCAGGCTCGTCCCTATGCTCCTCAATGACTGCCATTTTCCTGCTCACTAACACAATCCCGCAACACAGAATTGGAAGAATAGAAAATGGGTGTAGGGAAGAGAAAGGCCGGAAGGGGGAAGCAGGGCGTAAGGCAGAGAACGCAAGGTGGGGGAAGAATGGTGTACGGAATAGAGGGGAAAGGGGATTGAAGAGTGTAAGGCAGAGAGGGGAGAGGGGGGAGAAGGGGGTAAGGCAGTGAACGCAGGAGACAGAGGGGAAGCAGGGGGAAGAGGGAGTTTAGGGTTGCAAGGTGGGAGAGGAAACCAGCAACGCGCAATCCCTTCCGTTACTAAACCAGCACGGAAGGGATTGCGCGTGGGTGGCAGAGGGGAGTGAGCGTGGGCGCGCTGGAGGAGGGAGCGTGTGTGACGGAGGGAAGCGTCGCGTGCCCGACGGGAGGGGAGTGAGCGTGGGCGACGGAGGCGAGTGCGCGGAGGCAAAGGAGGGTAGTGTGAGTGGCCGACGGAAGGGGGAGCACGTCTGCGATGGAGACGCGGAAACGTGTGCGATGGGTTCAGGGTATGGCATGGGATGGAAGGGTATGGCAGGATTTGGCAGCGGATGGATGAGTATGGAATTTGATTGCCCAAGCGTATGGCAGGGGTTAGAAGGGTATGCGATGGGGGAGCACGGGAGAATGAGGGGGAGAACGGTGTGGAAATGAGAAGGAGAAGGGAGGGCAATGAGCGGGATAAGGGGGGGGAATGAGAGGGAAAGGGGGGAGATGAGAGGGAGAAGGGGGGGAAATGAGAAGGAAAAGGGGTGGAGATGAGAGGGAGCAGGGGGGATGAATGAGAGGGAGGCAAAGGGGAAATGAGAGGCAGCACGTGGGGCAATGAGAGGGAACTCATTAGGAAATGAGCAGGTGAATGGGGGGGAAACGAGAGGGGGAAGGGGGGAATGAGGGGGCACATGAGGGTTAATGAGAGGGAGAAAGAGGGGGTTTGAAATTGAGAAGATCAGAGGGAGAACGGGGGAATATGAGAAGGAAAAAGGGGGGACGTAAGAGGGAGCAGAGGGGAAATGAGAGGGAGAAGGGGCGAAAATGAGAAGGAGAAGGGGGGGTAAATGAGAGGGGGAAGGGGGGTAAACGAGAGGGGGAAGGGGGGGGAAACGAGAGGGAGAAGGGGGAAAATGAGCGGGAGAATAGGGGAAATGCGCGAGCGAAAGGGGTAACATGACAGGGAGCAGGGGGGAAAATGAGTGGGAGAAAAAGGGGGAATGAGGGGGATCATGGGGTGAATGTGGGGAGAACGGGGGGAAATGAGAGGGAGAATGGGGGGAAATGAGAAGGAGATGGGGAGGACATGAGAGGGAGCAAGGGGGAAAACTCAAGGGAGTAGGGGGGGAAATGAGAGGGGGAAGGGGGGTAAACGAGAGGGGGAAGGGGGGGAAACGAGAGGAGGAAGGGGGGGAAACGAGCGGGAGAAGCGGTTGAAACGAGAGGGAGAAGGGAAGGGGGCAATAAAAGGGAGCAGGGGCTGCTGAAAGACGGGGAGGCTTGCACACGGAATGGCGAGGCTTGAAATGGAGATGGGTGGGTCGGTTGGGGAGAAAGGGAGGCATTTATGAGGGAAATTAGGAGCCAAGAAGGGGAAACGGGGAGGTGCGAACGGGAAACGGGGAGCGGGAAGGGGAAACGGGGAGCGGGAAGGGGAAACGGGGAGCGGGAAGGGGAAACGGGGAGGCGGGGAGGGGTAATGGGGAGCGGGAGGGGAAAACGGGAATGTGGGAAGGGGAAACTGGAATGTGGGAAGGGAAACGGGAATGTGGGAAGGGGAAACGGGAATGTGGGAAGGGGAAACGGGAATGTGGGAAGGGGAAACGGGAACGTGGGAAGGGGAAACGGGAACGTGGGAAGGGGAAACGGGAACGTGGGAAGGAGAAACTCCATGCGGGGATGGGAAACGGGGAGGCGGAAAGGGAAAATGCGGGACGGGATGGAAAACCGGGGAACGGGAAGGGGTAATCGGGACACGGGAAGGGGAAATCGGGTGGCGGAAAGGGGAATTGGGGAGGCGGGAAGGGGATACGGGAAGCGGGAAGGGGAAACGGGGGGGTTGGAACTTGAATTGGGGAGGCGAGAAGGGGAATCGGGGTGGCGGGAATGGGCAATGCGGAGCGGGTAGGGGAAACGGGGAGGCGGGACGGCGAATTGGGGACTCGAGAAGGGAAATCGAGGAGGCGGAGAGGGGAGGAGCAGGCGTTTCAGCAGTCGTTCCGTACCTCAATTGTGGCTTCCGCGGCTAAGAACGGACACGTGGTCGCGATGACGTGCGATCAGGCGGCGTCTGTGATCGTGCGTGTTCGGCAGTTTGGGCCGCGTCGTGCGCGTTCACGGTGGCGTGAGGAGGCAGCGTGGCGAGGCGACGCGACGGACGTCGAGACGAGGCTGTGAGAAGGGGTCCGGCGGGGTCGCAGTGTGAGAGGGTGCAACTGACGTTGTTTCGGACTTGTAATTACACCCACGCGTCTAGGTTTGTGTCGGAAACGGGGGTAATCAGCGCTGGCTGTTGAGTCACGACGTGCTTAGCATCGGTTTATGCTGCCTCTAAGGCCTAGTGGCGTAGATCTGAGACGGGCTGGATTTCGTATACTTGAGTCAAACCCAAAACTTCCCTTTTCTAATACCAAATAAACTTTGCTTGAGATTTAGAATACAGCCGCCCTAGCTCAGTCGGTAGAGCGCAAGGCTCTTAACCTTGTGGTCGTGGGTTCGAGCCCCACGGGCGGCGGGTTACTGGTATACAATACATGTAAGTTTTGGTTTGGCATAATAGAGCTCAGCGGACGAAAATTGCCGCCCATTTTCGCGGGCCAGAACGGACAACCCCCCTCCTCGGGGTTGTCGACCCCACGACGACCTCCGCGTGGAAAGCCCAGGTGAGCTGCCTCGGCCCAGTGCTGGTGACCCCTCGGGATTGTCGACGACCTGTCGACCTTGGGTTCCGCTGAGACAATCCCAAGAAGGCCGTCTCAGCCGCGTGACGTCATCCCAGCTCGGCTCGTCGGGCCGCGATGATCGCCACGCGGCCAAAAAAGGACGTGCGAGATCGACCCCTGGATGGCGGGGCCATCGAGGTCTGCCAGGGTGGCCACGACGGGCCAACGGAGGGTCGGGGTGGTTCGCGTGGGAAAATTTCGCGCCCAGGCGTGGCCAGGTCGGTGCGTACCACACGGCCAACATCCAATGGTTGCTCACATGCCCAAGGCGAAATCCGACCGTCCACTACCTCTGGCTAGGTGCACTGGATGCTGATGCGGCGGGAATGTCGGCGTCGACCAGAAGGTCTTCGTCGTGATGCCACGCGGCAGTCTATCCCGCCCTCGAACTGCACCCAGCTTGGGACCACGCCACGTACCGCACGATAGAGCCAGCGTGTAACACCCATGAAAGGCGCATCACATGCGAAGCGCTTCAAGCAAGCAGCCATGCACGCCCGGTGGCACGTCGGTCACGGCGCCGCCGCACGAGCGTACATGCATAGCTGCGTCCTGCACAGGGGTTTGCGTGGAGCGCCAAGTGGAGCGGAGTCGCTCACGACCATACCAATCTGGGCTCCCATTGTAGGTCGCTCATTCTGCCTGCCGTTCTGCATGCGTTTCATCCGTTAGCTGGCACTTAGATTTTTTTGGTCGTTCCCGTGTCGGCAGACGTGGAACGTCGGCGTCGTCAGAATAGTCAGACGTCGTGGCCGCCGTCTCGTAGTGTTTTCTGCGACGCCGACCTGTCAGATGCCGCCGAGTTAGAAACGCCATGTTTCATTTCACCGACCTCACCACACCGACTTCCCATCGCGAGACCCTAGGTCGCGGTATCATGGCCGGAGCACAGCCTCGCTCGACACCGCCGCAACCGCAGCCACCACCCGCCGACGTCGACATGACGGACGTCCCAAACCCCGCTAGCCAGGCTGAGGATGTCCCCCCGGTAGACCGTACACCGACCAGTAACCCCTCGTCGACGCTGCCCCTGCTTTACGATCTCGACGCGCTGGCCCAAATCCCGCAGGGAGAGTTCACCAAAGACATTCCGCCCGCGCCCATAGGGGAGTTCACGAAACCACGCAAAGACACGTCGGCGCCCACAAATGCAGCGGAGGCCGGGCCGTCGTCGGTGCCGGACGGAGCGGGCGACCAGGATGAGGGAATGGAAGACTATTCCTCGGCGAGCGACGAGGACGACGACGCCGACCCGCGGCCCCAACGTGGCAGAGGTCCGAAGACGTTGGAAGAAAAGCTCAGGTCGGAACGTGCGCTGATTGAGGAACTTCTGGACGAGGACGAGCTAGAGGATCTGCTGAACGCGTCTGTCCCTCGAGAACAGTGGAAGGCGGCCGACTTCGTAGAGGAAGATATGGTGTACGCGTGCGTCGACGTGCTCGTGATGGAGGCATTGCGCCACCTGAAAACCATCGAGGCTAAGAGCACGCTCCAGTCCTACATCTCATGGATCTACCACTACAAGAGGTGGGCCGCGAAGATGCTCAAAGAGATAGGCGACAAGCTGCCGATCGGGGAACGAACTAGGCACGTCGACGAGATCGGGCACTGGATCCACTGCAACAAGAGCAAGGATTGGGACAACCCGAAGGTGGTCAAACGGAAGCACATCTGGCTGCACGGCCCCAAGGTCACTTTGACGCGGCTGCGCGCCTACGTCAAGTTCATGAGGCGGGAGTTCAAGATCGACGCCGAGACGAACGCGCCGGTGCCGTCCTACACGGTGCACATGATACTCGGCCGCATCAAGGCCTGCCAGATGGCGGCGAGGGTGGAGGCGACGCTCTACAAGGAGAAGGAGTTGGGCATCATGCGAGAAATCTCGGTTGTCCGGTCGGAGGTGCGGGTCATGGTCCGCACCAAAAACCAGAGGGACATCAAGTAAGTTGGCATGAAGCGCCGTTTTCATGTCGGTATCGATTTGTTCCCATCGCCCTAATAATCCTACCGCCGTATTGTTCTGTCGACAGTAATTGCGCCGACCGTCGACGCGGCACCATCGGCGACACATACACCGCCGAACAGTTCCGCCAGATCATGACGAGGGTGCTGCCGGCTTGGGCGGCGTCGGCATGGGCCCCGCATTTCACCACTCCTTCGCAGACGCTGTGGAGGTTTCTTCTCGTCAAGGTGCTCACGCTGCTCTCCCACCACAGCCTCATGCGCGGTGCAAGCATCCGCGAGATCACGCTCCCCGACATCTTCTTGTACCGACTGGCGAGCACCTCGTCGGTGAACCCGGATAACCAGCCGGTCGTCATGGTGGAAGCCGCGAGGAACTCGAAGACGTCGAAGGATGCGCGTCTTCAGCAGAGCTATGCGGCGCGGCACCTCGAAGCGGAATTGTGCGCCGTCGGCGAGACCGGACTGTGGCTACACTTCATCCTCGACCAGATCGGCCAGTTTCACGGCGTCGGCGTCATCCCGCCGGTCGACACCAGCACACGCGAGCGCTGGTACAAGAAGCACCTGTTCTTCGCCCGCAACGACCCCGAGCAGGGCGAACTCTCCGCTGCCAGCCACCAGCGATGGACGAGGCAGATGTGGAAGACGAACGGGGTGTTCTGCAAGCGGAACGTCCATGCCGCTCGGGCAGGCAGGGCGAAGGAGCTGGCCATCAACGGTACGCCTCGCGCCGAGATAGCCGAGCTGGGTCACTGGGCTCTCGACAAGATGACTCGAGCCTACATCACAGCCATTCCCGTCGGCGTGGTGATGAAGAAGGCCGGCTATTCGGGCTACACGCAGGACTACTTCTTGGGGCGCAGCAGGGTGGAACCGTCGGACGAGCTTCTCAAGCTCATCGCCGAGCACATCTTCCCCGGCGTCGACGAGCTCCTTAAGAATGTATGTCGATCGGTACCGCATGTATGCCTCGCATGGCACTGTACTTTCAACCACGGTAATCACCAAGCTCTGTTGTCTAATTGCAGGCGGAAGAACTCGCGAAGAAGGGGTCCGACGCCGACGTTGCTGCCGTGCATTTCTGGCGCACCCTCCTGATGTTCCGCCGCATTGTCGCCGAGGACCTCGCTGTGAAACTCGTCCGCACGCCTTGGCACCCGTACGTCCAGTATTCCAAGCTCTGCCGGATTCCCCTCTTCCAGCACTGGGCGAAGAGGGTGGAGAAGACCGACACCGAGACCATCAAAAAGCGGCAAGACCCAACCCTCATCCAGCCAGAGGTGAGTCATCTTTATGTCGACATCGCCATGAGCACTGTGCCCGATGACCCCAACTCACCTGCACCGTTATTCGCCGACCATTGCAGGAGATATCGGTCCGCCATGACGCCCAGTACGCGGTCGTCTCCCTCACAACGACGCTGAAGCTCGAGAGGGAGCGGTCAGCGGTCGAGAAGATCGACCTCGAGGAGAAGCTCGAGCAGCGCGACGCTACCATCGCGTCGATGACGGACGAGATAACCCGCCTCACCGAGGCTCTCCGCGTTTCAGAAGCTCGTAGGATGCCGGAGGCGCCGCCAGCTGCGAACGACCAGTCGCCGAGCGACGGTGGCTCCGCGGAGTCGGCAAGCAGGGGTGACGGAGCCAAGAAACCCAAAAAACCCCCGCAGAAGGTCGAGGAGGCTAGCTACGAGCTGAACGTGGTTCAGCCTTGGCGGAATGCAACGACCGTGAGGGACGCGTGGCGCCTCTGGACCTCGTGCACCAGCGCCGACACCCGTCGTCTGTGCGACAGGTTCTTCGAGCCGGGATTCGTCGACCGCCACACCCTCCTCGACGGAGCCTCGCAGGGAGCACACGGGACGAGGGTGCGCCGCATGATGAAGGTCATCGATGCCGTGAGGGAGCTTCGCAGGAGCGACGGCGAAGCCGACACGGAAGCCGTCGTCGACGCGCTTAACACGATAGCGGCGCCTGGCATTGGGACCTTCTCGGATGCCCTCACGGTGCTCAACAAGGGCAACAAACCGACCTATGCCGGGCAGGGTAAGGGCGTCAAGGGGCTCGTCAAGACGGACTATTCCAAGCTTCGTCTCGCCTGTGCGCTCGTGGCGCGCGGGTCTCCCGCCTGTTCCCGGACACATGGGAGGAGCAGATGAAGAAGGCGTTGGCCGACCTGGCCCGCGAAAACGACGACGGGCAAGCTCCTCCGACCAAGAAGTCGACCAAGCGCAAGAAGACCGCGTGAATGCTCACAAGCACCATGCGACTGTGGGCTGCTGCATGTTGTAGTTGTTGTTCCAGCATGCATGTGATTCGTACTGATAAGGTTGTCGACTTTGTGTTTCTCACAATGATTCTGTCGTTCAAACAAAGCATCATTCCCCATTCATCAAGTAGACAATCAAGTTGACAATCACATCATTCGGGTTTAGGGTAAGCATCCTACGTAAAGTCGACAATCACATCATTCGCAAGTAGACAATCATTCATCAAGTAGACAATCACATCATCCTACGTAAAGTCGACACGCATGCACACAACGAAACACAAACATGTAGCATCTAAGGGATCCGACAGACGAAACACACAAGACCGATATCGACCATACCAACATCCAATCCTAGCAAGCCGTCGACCTAGCCCAACATGTTCCCCTCGCCGACTACGCCGCCCTGCTGTCCTTGGCCTTCTTCGCCTTCGGGCCCTTCTTCCCCGCGCTGTCCTTGGCCTTCTGGCCCTTCTTCCCCGCGCTGTCCTTGGCCTTCGTCCCCTTCTTCCCCGTGCCGCCCTTGGCCTTCGTCCCCTTCTTGCCCCTCTGACCCTTCCTCCCCCTGTTGTCGATGTCAGCCTTCATCTGCGCGTCAATCGGCACCGCGATGCCCCTCGCTTTGAGTTTCGGCCCGGCGACGGGGCACATTCCCCAGAACGCCATCGTCTCGACCGTCGCTCTAGCGATCACCACGGCATCGACTCCAGCATTCCCCCCAGGATAAGCCCTATCAAGGGCGGTCCTCTTGAGTGCTGGCGCGACGTTGTAAGCAACCTCTCCCAGGGGGCGGTCCCTGTTGATCTCGGCGTTCAGCACCTCCTCCATGACCTTGGCGAACACATCGGCGGTCTGCTGGCTCGCTCCGCCCACAAGCGCCGCCGCCTTCCCTTCTTCCACAGCATCCTCCACCTGGGCATCGCCGTTCTCGACGAAGCACCACACAGCGCATGCGGATGCTCCTAACGCCCATGCCGCCATATCCGTCTTCTCGTCGCTGTCTCCCTCCTTTCTCGCCGCTGTCGCAGCGGTCTTCCCATACGCCGCGCTCATTGCCACGCGACCTATCATCGCCGACATCATGGACGCCGACTTTTCCCGGCCCTCCTTGGTGTTGGGATCGACTTGGTACCATACGGCTGGCAGGAGCGTGGCGAGCAGACCATCGCCTGTGGACTTGTAATGTCGATACTTGTCGAGGATCTCATTCAGCCTGTCACGCGAGCCCGTCAAACAGGGCGAACATTAGTGACCACGACAACGACATCATCACTTGCGTCGACTTTGGGCAGGGGGATTGCCGACTTACCGGGTCTTTGGAAGAAGAGTACCCCGGGCCCACATCACCGTCCACATCCCCGTCGGTAAGATCTTGACCTCCTCCCACACCTCCTTCCACCTCTCCAACTCGGCGCTGTCCAGGACGGTGAGCTCGTTCATGAGCACCTTGCTCACGAAACCGTCGTAGACGACGAACGCGATGGAGTGCACGTACGCGAGCTCCATCTTCTCACGCGACTTGCCGATGTATCGATTGATGCCGTGCACCTTAATCTCGCCGACCCACCCTTGCTTGTCGCCCGAGGTATCGTGTCGGATGCCATGACCCCTCCTCTCCTTGCCCTTCCCCTCCTCCTCCTCCTCCTCCTCCTCCTCCTCGTCCTCCTCTTCCGCCTCCTCTTCTTCCTCCTCCTCCGCCTCCTCTTCTTCTTCCTCCTCCTCGACCACCTCCACCTCCTCGACGTCCTCCTCCTCCTCCTCCTCCGCCTTCCTCTTTCCCTTTCTCGCCTTCGACGAACCATCGCCGACCGCCTTCTCCTTCCCCTTCCTCCCCGTCGACGTACCCTCGCCGAGCGACATCTCCCCCGTTTTGCCGCCACCATATTTGTCCGCCGCCGTTTCCGCCGCCTTCATCTCCGACTTCTCCCGAGACTTCCTCTGTGAGCCCGCCTTCCCCTTCCGTTTCGCCTTTCCTTCGCTGACAGCATCACGGGTCGCACTAGGCTCTGCTGGACTGCCGACGGGAACCGCCGAAGGCTCCACATGTGCCGTGTCGGAGATTGCCAGAGTTCGGGGCATGGCTGCATCCAGATGGGCCTGTATGGCTGCGATATCCGCGTCTGGGGGCGCCTGCTCGACGGGGCCGCCGCCGGTGGCAAGGGCGGCACGAACGCCCTTCTCCGCCGCTTTCTCAACCTCAGCTGCCACATGGGTGGGTGGTGCGACATACGCCGACGACGGCTTGGTGCCAGAGCCTGATGCCTGCTGGGTTGGCGAGGTCGACGCTAGCGCGCTCAGCTGGGCGCGAAGCAACGCGTATTTTGGGTCAGCAGGAGTACGGGCGGCGACGGCCGGCACTGCCCGTGGCACACTCGCCGAGGGGACGTCGACAGCTGGGGGAGGCTGTTGAACAGCCTTGTGGCCGGCAAGGAGCCTGAGCTGCTCCTTGAGCGCGTCCGCAACTGCCGCCCCTTTCCCCGCAACGTCGGCAGGTCGCCCGGCAGACGGTGCGGCCGGAGGGCGTGCACCCGCGGGAGGCTGGTGAGGAACCGCCGACGCCTCCGCGACCCCGGCCGTCGGGCCCTTGCCAGTTTTCGCGGCCCCGCCTGTGGCCGTTTTGGCAGCCGCCTTGTCGCTCTGCCCTTTCTCACCGCTACCCTGTCGAGGTGGCTTCTCGCCGACCGAAGGCGGAGCCATTGGCCGTGCGTCATCAGTGGCATGCTCGTCGGCGGGACCCCCATCACCCTTCCACGTGCTCGTCGCTCGAACCTCTGCCCAGTGCTTCTTGAGCATGTCGAGCACGCTCTTCCCCGACTGCTTCCCCGAACTGCCGTCGCCGGCTCCCTTGCTCCCGTCGCCGGCGCCGCGACTACTCCCTGCTCCCTTGCCCCCCCTCGCGCTCGCCGAATCGTCGACGTGGCCTCCCCCGCCGCCTCCCTCACCGGCCCCCTTGCTCCCGTCGCCGGCGACGCGACTACCCCCCGCTCCCTTGCCCCGCCTCGCGCTCGCCGAGTCGTCTCCGTCTCCCCCCCCGCCGCCTCCCTCTCCGGCCCCTTTGCTCCCGTCGCCGGCGACGCCACTACCCCCCGCTCCCTTGTCCCGCTTCCCGTTCGCCGAATCGTCTCCGTCTCCCCCCCCGCCGCCTCCCCCCCTCTTATGACCCTGCTTCTGGCCGGTGTCGTTTGCCGACGGCGAAGACCCACGCCGAGCAGTCGCCACCGTGCTGACCACCTCGATCATAATCTTCAATCTGGAGGCGAGGAAAGACTGCTGCGTGACCTCCGTCACCGCCTTCAGCAAATCCGCCTTGAAGGAATCCAGGAACTCGGCCGACAAGGCCTGCGCTGGGGCGGGCGGCGGCGGCTGCTGCACGACGAGACGGGGAGCGACGGCGGCGGCAATGTTGGTCTGCGCGGCGGTGATGTATTTAATGACCGTCTCCTCCAACCCCTTCCTCGCCTCACCCACCTCAAACGTCACGTGGTCGACCACAGTGTCCACCGCGGTGGCGCGTGCGACCGCGAATCGTCCCTCGGGGGCGTCCAGATCCAGCAGGAGCTGCCTCGCTAGCTCGGCGAAGCGCTTGCCCGATTGAATTGCGCTGTTCATGTTGTCGGTGAGGCCCTCGGTGATTTCCGCCGCCATGGTCGACGTGGCCTCTTTGAGGCGCTCCACCGATTTCCGGTCGGTGTCGGCGACCTGGGCGGTCAAACCCTTCAGCTTCTTGAGGAGCCCAGCAACGGCCGCCGCCAAGCTGTCGACCCGCCCCGTCTGCTCACCGAGCCGCCGTTCAAGGCGTGCATTTTCGGCACGCAATCGCCTGTTCTCCGCTCTCAGCTGCTCGAAGACGTCGGGCGGCGCCTGCCGCCTAGCAGCGGTGGAACCGGGATGACCGCTCGCCGCCTTCTTCCTCCTAGTGGACCGCTCCCCCCCGGCCTTCTCTGCGGTGGCATCGGTGTGCACTTCCACGCCCTTCTGCTTCTGGGCCGCGGCGTTATCCCCTTCACCTACCTCGACCATCCCACTCCCCCCGTGAGCCGCCTCCACGCCGACCTCGCCGAGATCCGCCGTCGTACCCTTTCCCTCCCCTTCGTCGTTCTCCACATCCGCCGGTCTCCCACCCGTTTCCGCCTCTCCTTCTGCGACGTACCCCTCCGCCATTTCCACGTCCACCACCTCTACGCCCTGCTCCTCGTCTTGCTGCTCCTCCTGGGGCTGCCTCTCTCGCTCCTGCGTCTCCTGTCCCTGCTCCTGCTCCTCCTCCGACTCCGACCCCGACACCGACTCCTCCGAGCCCCCCTCAACCACACGTTCCTCCTCACGATGCTGGACCCCATCATCATCCCCGTGATCTGTCTCGTCCCGGTGCTTCTCCTCGGTCCCGGCCACCCCATGTCCTGCTGCCGCATCGGCCTCGTCGACGCCGCTACCCGGCTTCCCGACCGAGGTGCCAGGCTTCCCGGCCTCGTCGACGCCGCCACCCCGCTTCCCGACCGAGGTGCCAGGCTTCCCGGCCTCGTCGACGCCACCACCCCGCTTCCCGACCGCTGGGGCACCTCCGCCAGCTTGGGGCGCCGACTGAACCTCCTCGCCGTCGTCGTCACAGACGTCGGCCGCAACTACGTTTCGGCCCGACCGTATGAGCGCGACCTGCCTCTTGATGAAGGCCACCATCTTGGTGCGCAGCCCCTTAAACCCCGCAACACCGACCTAGTCCATGCTGGTGGCACTGCGACGGAGGGCGCCGGCCAACCGATCCTTCCGCCTCACAGCCCAGAGCAACGCGCTCATTGCTAGCAGGCCGGAGCCCGCGTCCCCGTCCCGGACGGTATCGGGCACTTTCTGCATACAGCAGAGGAGAGCGCTAATATGAGCACCGATATCGACATTCGCATCTCGCAAGGACAAATCGACAGCTGCATCGCGCAAGGAAGTGACACCAAACCTTCGAAACTCACATCTCGAAGGGGTTCGTCGCAGTCGGCGAGCCTCGCATGCACCTCCTCCTCGGACGGCTTCGTCCACTCCCATTTCCTACCTTCGCGCCGAAGCTCGGCCATAACAGCCGCCCGGAAAAACCTGTGTCAAACATTATATATGTTGTGTTTGTGTAGGCTATAGTGGGTTAGCCTATAGGGGGGTCACAACATTAGGGTTTCATATTTGTACTCACAATCCTTTCTAGTTCACCATTCCTCGTTCAGTTCTTCTGACATGGTTTCAGAGCAGGTGCTCTAGTCGCTGAGTTGATAGACTTTGCTGCCCGGTGTCGTCTAGACTACGCCACTAGCCTTGTTGCCGAGTCTGAGTCTGAGTCTGTCTGTCCTCCGTCCGTCGGGGGTGAGTGTGCTCTTGGCACGGACGTCCTTGAGGACAGACAGGAGGAGTTCCAGTGCTTTGCTGCTGCTTTGCCCCACCTCGTGTCCATGCTAGTTGCCCCTGAGGGAGACCCGGATGCACCAGACATCCCGACCCCGCGCACTTACGCTGAGGCGATGGCGGGTCCCTACTCCTCTCAGTGGCAGACAGCCATGGACGCAGAGATGGCTTCCTGGAAGTCCACACGCACCTATGTCGACGAGGTTCCCCCACCTGGGGCGAACATCGTCAGTGGCATGTGGATTTTCAGGGTGAAGCGGCCGCCGGGTTCTCCTCCTGTCTTCAAGGCGCGCTACGTGGCTCGAGGCTTCAGTCAGCGAGAGGGAGTTGACTTCTTTCAGACCTTCTCCCCCACCCCGAAGATGACCACTCTTCGGGTGCTGCTGCACATAGCCGCTCAGCGCGACTACGAGCTTCACTCACTTGACTTCAGCACTGCTTTCTTGCAGGGCAGCCTGCACGAGGAGATCTGGCTGCGCCGCCCTCCTGGCTTCACCGGGTCGGTTCCTCCTGGTACCCAGTGGAGGCTTCAGCGGCCGGTCTACAGTCTCCGCCAGGCACCGCGTGAGTGGCACGACACACTGAGGACGACACTTGCGGCTCTTGGGTTCGCTCCCTCTACTGCTGACCCGTCACTGTTTCTACGCACAGACACCTCACTGCCGCCGTTCTACATCCTCGTGTACGTCGACGACTTGGTCTTTGCCACTGCTGACACCGCGGCACTTGCCCACGTGAAGTCGGAGCTGCAGAGGAGACACACGTGCACAGACCTGGGTGAACTGACAAGCTATCTTGGCTTGCGGATCACCCGGGACAGAGCACGACGCACCATCACCTTGACTCAGTCACACATGGTGCAGCAGATCCTTCAGCGCTTCCGCTTCACGTACTCCTCGCCTCAGTCCACTCCTCTGCCTACCGGTTACTCGCTCTCAGCTCTGCCTTCGGATGAGTCCGTAGAGCCGAGTGGCCCGTATCCAGAGCTGGGCTGCCTCATGTACCTGATGACCTGCACTCGACCTGACCTTGCATACCCTCTTAGCATCCTTGCACGCTATGTCGCTCCTGGCCGTCACAGGAAGGAGCACATGGATGCCGCTAAGAGGGTGTTGTGCTACTTGTGCAGTACGTCGGGCATGGGGCTAGTGCTTGGAGGGCGAGACCGAGTTGTACTTACTGGACACTCAGACGCTTCTTGGGCGGACGACCAGGCTACTCAGCGGTCGTCTCAGGGTTACACCTTCAGTTTCTTGGCGTTCTACACGCTCTTCTTCTGTTCTCAGCTCCAGTTGTGAGGCTGAGATCTACGCCACAGCCATGGCTGCCCAGGAGCTACGCTGGCTGACCTACCTGCTGACCGACTTGGGTGAGCGGCCTCGTTCTCCTCCAGTGCTGTACGTCGACAACCAGGCTGCCATTGCCTTGTGTGAGGAGCACAGACTGGAGCACAGAACGAAGCACATCGCCCTGCGGTACTTCCTTGCTCGAGAGCTGCAGCAGCGCGGTCAGCTTCGTTTGCGTTACGTGGCCACTGAGGCCAACCTTGCTGATGTGTTCACCAAGGCGCTTCCGCCTTGTGACCATCAGCGCTTCTGCACTCTGCTAGGCCTTGTGCCTACTGGACCTCACTTACTTACCTCTTGACCTTGCTTGTACTGTGATCACTATATATATATCTACCTGCATGTTTACTCTTGCTAGGTTGTGATCACTGTATCTCATGCTCTGTTATAAACCTGCATGTGAACTGGTCTTGTGACCACTAGCTTGTGCTCGGAATTTGTGTGGTATCCTTGAGATCCACCCTGAGCTTGTTGTTGCCTTGCTTTGCCTTGACTGGTCTTGTGACCCCTAGGTCTCCCCCACTTTGCCTATGGGGGTGTGTCAAACATTATATATGTTGTGTTTGTGTAGGCTATAGTGGGTTAGCCTATAGGGGGGTCACAACATTAGGGTTTCATATTTGTACTCACAATCCTTTCTAGTTCACCATTCCTCGTTCAGTTCTTCTGACAAAACCTGCAAAAGCATGGCCCAGACGGTCAATTAGCACGGTGCACGCCCCGCATTGACAACGGAAACGGCGTCGACTACACTATCGAGCTAACTCCAGCACGCGTTTCGCCTCTTTGATGTGCCACTCCTTCACAGTCTGCGGGTCGGCGTGCCGGATCGAGGTCCTGATCAACTGGCCCGATGCCTTCAACAAGTCGCCGGGGCACAGGATGATAATGACGCTGCAATGTGTTCCCGGAAGCGGTGCGATGCTGCACAGACAATGGACGTCGACATAGATCAGAACACATAATCGACGCAGGTTGCAGCACACGCGCGACGACCCCGAACCAGCTCACCTCGATATCAGTGGGATAACCGCCACGTCGGCGTAAAAAACCTTCGCGAAGACTGTA